CTGTGTTGTATTCAAGTCCCATTGCACAATATTTCTGGTTATTTTGTTGTGGGTATTTTTTATATTTTTAGTCTACACTTATTAGGAATACTGGTACACAATTCTGATTGAGTAAGTAGTTGAGAAAATGCTCAGATCTACATGCTACGTTTTGTGAATTCTGAGCCTTTTTATAATTTGTTTTGGCTGTGCTGTTTCATGATTTTACTGTGGAGCTCATCAATTTTTTTTTAGTTCTGGATTTAAAACTGTGTGAAGTGTGAAACTTTCCAAAGAAAAACTATAGGCATGTTACTTTAATCCTCTGAATTTATTTGTGATACTAATGAAAATACAGTTTTATCTTCAAGGGGACCATAACCACTAGATGGCACTGTGTAATAGGGGTGCCAATCACATACCTTTATAAGTGGGTGTTCTGCCTCAAGGTGGCCAGAACTCCATGTTGTCTATTTGAAAATAACACACGATTTATTTCCCTCTGATGCAGTAGAATCTCTTTATAATGTTCCCATCTGTTTTTTCAAATATTTTTATTTATTTTGATAAATAACATAATTGTTGACCAGTTGACAAGTAAACCAGTCGACCAGTTTCACTTTATATCAGCATAGAATTTGAACTGTGGTTTTGGAACTATTTAGTCATCTCTTGAGTGTTTTATTTTTTATCTTTGGAGACAGCTGAAATGGGAGTTTGGCAAAGTAAATAGGAGTTTGCTGACACCATTATGCAAATAGAGTCCTCTAATTTGCATAATGGAGGAGCTGGATCTGGAGTGAAAATACTGGTTTGGTCCACTAGAGGGCATTTTCCACATTTGCATGAGCAGTCAACTCCCCCGACAGCAATCTGATTCCTCTAAAAAAAAAGCTTTATCATCCAACAAGGGTTGTCTATTAAGATTTTAGGATAAAGTCTCAGGTTGAGACAGTGAACTTAGTGGAAAAAGTTTGTGTTTCATGGGGAGACTGCACTGATAGTTAAATGTAGAGTCTTGTGGAAGATAACTAAAAAAACACCTGCTGGTGCTGAGGATGGTGATTTTACTTGTTGGATCCTGGTCAAACAGGATCAGCTAGTAAAATTGGTTTCTGACTTAAGTGGAAGTGGTCTGGCCTTAGCCCTAGTTTCACAATTTCACACAGGTATATAGTCCAGGTTACATCAAATACGGTACATGTGCGGTATATCAGGGGCTTTATGTATGTAGGTCCTCCAAAACCACACTACAGGTTAGGAGGACCTGCTGCAATTGGATAGGAAATTTAATCGATAAAGGGCAATTCTGTTACATGCTTATTAACTCACAGTTAAATTAAATCTACTGTTAGTACTGGGTCATCACTTGGAGAAGCAGTCTATCGTCTGACTTACAAGGTGCGTGCAGCTTAATAATGATCCAGTAAGGGTGCTGACCCTCCTGCCAGGAGATTGCAGTGTGTTGAAAGTTGAATAACTCAATGGGAGGGCAGGTTGGGGAGAGGTAAAATGAGAAATGTGTGTTTTTAAGTGGAAATGCACATAACCCCATACTGAGTTTACAGCATATATCCATTTCCTGGTGTTAATTTGACCAACCCTTTTCCTTTGCGTTTATGTAGAGTGGTGTCCTTCTTGAGAGCCCTGAGAATCATTATCCTGGTGCGGATCTTTAGACTTGCCTCACAGAAGAAGCACCTGGAGAAGGCCACGAGGAGAATGGTGAGGTTGCTATGTCTACCACTGCACTGCACTGAATAACAAAAAAAAGAGAACAGACAAATGTGAGCCGTTTTTCCAGATTTGACCATGCTATTACTGTATGCGCTGCTTATTGATTTACAGATATGCGTCCAATTGCTCTAGGATACTCTAAGCATTTACCTCATTTACCTAAGTTGGCAGCTTGTTTCATATTCCTCTCATTCACAGTAATTAGTGTAAAGACGTGTTATCTGTTCTCCGTTCTGAATTTAGAGGCACTTTAGATGTGTCCCTAGAACCTTGTCTCTGTGTTTACAGTTAAAGTCTGCATTGCCATTTCGAATCTCATTTTAACAATCCTTTCTCGTTATTGCACCCACATTAGTGTATGTCGATCCTCCAACATACACAAAATATTAAGATTCATTATGAACAGGCAAACTGTCATAGATGTGGCAGTGGGAGCCTCATTATTGCAATAGGAAGAAGTTAATGTTGAACTTTGTGCTGATTTCCCAGGTTTCTGAAAACAAGAGACGCTACCAGAAGGATGGATTTGATCTTGATCTGACTTATGTGACTGGTTTGTATGCTGTGTTGGAACTGTTGTATTTCAGATTTAATGCATTTTAAAGAATAAATGACTGGGTTCCAGAAAATAGTGTCGTACCTCACCAAATATTACTATTGTTTAAGTGGCAGGTTAGTCATTTTACTGTTCATTATTTGTATTACCAGTAGTATTTAAACTTATAGTTCCATTGCATCCAGGTTTGGAGAAATGTCCTTCTCTAGGAGTTGCAGGTGACTATGGAAAAACAGCAGCTTTGAGAACGCAGACCTGTAAGACTCAGGCATGTCTAAAAACAAATGAACAAATTAAGTCACGTTTTTTTCCATGCTGAAAAGAGAAGAATAGAAACACAACGTTTCAGCTGTGGAGCCTTCTTCAGGTGTAAGAAAGAGAGGAAAGTCTAGTGTTTAGAGATGTTGTCTAATGTTGTGAGAAAGAGAGGAAAGTCCAGGTTTAAAAACATGTGAAGTGTGAAGCTGGAAAGAAAGACTGCAGTCACATTACTTCCTCTAAAGCTGTCTGTGATGCTGTCTGGTAATGAAACATGCTATTTGTTCTTTAAGCGAACCTTAGCAAATCTTTGATATGTAGAACCTCTGGTGCTGCATCTGTGTAAACAGCACCTGGTTATAAAAGGCAGGTTTAATATTAGTCTGATCTAATGGTTAAAATGTAAGATTAAGAGACACCTGTTCTCTCTTACATGCCAACCTACTGTATCATGTTGCTGAGAAGAACTGTGACACTCCCATACCAATGTAATTTACTGATCAGTGCGTAATTATATTTTTTGTCAGATTGTAACCTTGCTGTAAATCTTTAACATAGTAAATTTACTTTGATATTTTTCCCCAGTTGAAAAAATCCAACGTTGTGTTATGTTTTGAGTTTTTGTCATAGTGTTACCAAAAGTGAGACTGGATATCAGAGTCTGGGGCAGAGAGTTCCTGTAACAGGACTCAGCTAGTTTGTAATCTCTCTGTTTTCACAGATCGCATCATTGCCATGTCATTTCCATCATCTGGGAAGCAGTCTTTTTACAGGAATCCCATTGGGGTAGGCTGTCCTTTACAAAAGATATCTTATCATGGTCCTACAGCCATTCCAAGATATGGCAGTGATGCTTGTACATAACTCAGTTCAAATTCAAAAGGAAATATTCAAGTTTTGGGGAAATGTTTAATGTTTGAAGACATGCATATTTTCTTTGCACAGGTAATACTTTTAGACGGACCCCATGTTTAACTCATTTCTTGTTTAAAAATGAAGTAAAATGTGTGTGTGTTATCGATCACATAAGGTTAGATTTATTTACTGTTGGGACTCAGTAAGGACTAGGTGAAGGTTAGATACTGTATCTTTTAATATGTAAATCCATAGAATCTTAAAAGGATGTGCTTTATTTTTTGTATCACTGTGTTTTAACTCTGTCGGTATAAACACATAAGCACCCCATGATTATAAACTTAAAAGCACCCCAATTTATTTCATATTTGAGTTGTGTGCTCATTATTTTGATCACATTGCCAATCTGTCTTGAAAGATTAGTTCGCTCTTCGTGTTATGGAAAATCTATGATTGCTTTGGAGATTATACTGGAAAATGTATACTGAATATGTATGTCTACCACTGCATATGAAGGTGGAATTAATTTCTTGAAAATGTGTGCACATTTCCAGAACCTCATTTCTATCATTGTATCATTTCTTATGTATTCTTTAGGAAGTTGCACGATTCCTTGACACCAAACACACGGATCACTACAAAGTCTATAACCTCTGCAGTAAGTGACCATTTATATCTTTGAGTTCTAACAAAATATTCCTGAAATGAGTGATGGTGGTCAACAGTGCTGCTGTGTTTGCTTTGCACAAACAACATGCTGTTAGAAAACGGTGAAATACATATTGTAACAACTTCATTTTGACCACCCTGCTTCATTCATCCATGTGAACCTCATGGGATATTTAGGACCAGGTAGATTGTGCTACTGTATATGTGAGATTCACTGCCCCTGAGTTCAGCTGCATTTGATGGAGATTGATGAAGGTGGCACTTAGGATAAAAGGTCACTGGCACATGACAGATCACAGCAGGAGTCAGATCTGAACCTTGTACCAAGGAAGCACTGATGAACTACAAGATAAGAAATGGAAATGCACCAGTCATTGATGACATTTGGCAAATTGTTTCTCCACTTGATAATTCACATGTGACTAACGATGACTTGAATCACATTAGAGCCAATGATATCTAGATGCTGTATGCTGTATGGCCTCATTTTCTCTCCAAGTATGGCCTTTACCAGCAGCCCTCTCTCCTTCAGTTTTAGTGCATATTCTATGCCAATAGAGAGAACTGTGGGAGGAGGAATAATTGGATCAGTTTTAAAAATTATTTGTTGGGAATTCACAGGCGTACAAGGAGAAATACCTCAGCTGCATCCAAATAAGTGTTGTTAGGTTGACTTGACAGGCTGAAATGGATAGACATTAGCTCAAGATACTGTACAAACCACTTCAGTACTGTGAGAGATGGGCTTTCCAACCTGATAATTCTTATAGATTATAAGAAAGTGGCAAGCCAATGTGGATTTGACATTTTAACTTCTGTAACTGGAATGCTAATGTAATGTAATTGATTAATTTTACGAACAGCCGAGAAAGGCTACGATCCCAAATACTTCCACTACAGAGTGGAGCGCATTTTCATTGATGACCACAACGTGCCTTCACTAGAGTAAGTACAAAGTACTTGGTTTGGAAAGCTACTGTATGTGTTGTCCTGATATAAACATGCCTTCTCAGCATGGGGTATGTGTAGCCTTTACCAAAATACAGAGTATTACCACATAAGGCGTAGCATGAGTCTTTGGTGAAGTAATCCATCCATTTTCAAACTGCTTCTTCCAATTTGGTGTTGCAAAAGAGTTGAAGCCTGTCCTGGCAAGTAGTGAATAGCAGGAATACAACCTGGATGGGACACCAGTGCATCACAGGGCACACACAGACACAAACAATGACGCACACACTCACACCGGGGCCAGTGTTCCCAGGAGCCAATTAACTTACCAGTTTTTGTACTATGTGAGGAAATGTGAGCACCTGGAGGAAAAACACACAAACACGGAGGAAATGTGCCAACACCACACAGATAGCAGCCCAGGTCTGGGATTGAACCCAGGGCCTAAGTACTGTGAGGCAGCAAAACTAACTACAGCGCCACCATGCCATCCTTTGGTGAAGAAATGTTCCCAAAATATACAGCAGAGTAGCGGCTATAGTTGTTTTTACTGTTTTGTTCTTGGTTCTTTTATCTTCATCTTTTAAATTTAAATAAGAATTACAAGAAATTTAACATTTTAAGATAATACAGATTCTGAGTGAAACTTCCTAGAAGTTGTTCATTGTGGTGAAAGTTTGACATATTAGCTTTGTTGCTTGAGTAAGCCGTTCTTCAGATGTTACTTCCAACTAAAATTGTTAATGTGTCAATTTACCCTTTTTACAGAGGTTGAATAAAATTGACCAGCCCTCACATTTTCATTTGTTTTCTTCAATTATTTTTAGTACTAAAGGAATATATTAAATAAATGTGGTATGTCCCAAAAACACTTCAACTCCTTTAGTGATTAACAGACAGGGATTGTTTGATAGGGATGTACAGCAGGAAAAGAAAGAGAGGATAGACTAAGGAAACTGTTCCTGTAAATGTACAAAACTGTTGTTGTAATACAGAAAGGTTGCCATTTCTATAAGAGGTACCTAGATTGTAGAAATTCAAGTTTTATTTTACTCATTTTAGATGAATGCTGTTTATCATTTTGAGAAGGTATGGTAGCCTGCCCCTACCTTTTGAATAAATCTGTACAAACAAGGTCATATTGGTTATACTCTGCCTTTATTTAGGGCACTGAGGCATTACTGCTTTGGAAACAAATTAAACCAAAACAGGAACAAGAAAATTAAAATTTACAAAATTGTCCATTTTATGATCTAACCACATAGTAATGGCAGATATTGGTGCCTCTTTGTTTCTGTCACAGAATGTATCTAAACGACATATCTTTTAACTGCTTTTATTGTGTTTTGTAGATAATTGTCTTTCACACTGAAAAAATCAGAACTGTTAATTGTATTAATTGGGAAAATTGAGCTTTGATTTCAGAAAGTAACAGTCTAATTAAGTACTGCAGTACTACAGCAGTGACACTATACTTGAGAAATAGCAACTAGCACAGGGGCAGTGACAGTCTTAAGATCCTTTATGCCAATGAAGAAGTACACTACTTGTAACAGCCTTACTATGCACTGTTCAGATCTTCTACTCAGTATGTTTCCTTCTTCTTAAAGAAATTCAATTCTGTTCAATCTCTCCCTGAAATTTTAACCATTTTGTGTTAAGTGACAGACAATTCTGAAATTGTATTATGCGTTACAAAAAGTAGACTTTTCAGATGAATCGATGTAGAGAGAAAAAAGTTATGTTAATGGCAAGGAAAACCTGTCAATAAGTTAGAATTGAATAAATGAGTAAATTGTTGGTGAAATACGTTATAATTCAGATTTCCATAGCTTCAGTACAGCAGTGTACGTGATTTGATGGGATGCTGGCTGGAAATGTTTCATGTGATGTTCTTTCCTTGTGACACACAGAGACATGCTAAAATACACAGCCAGCGTTCGAGAGTGGATGGCCGCTGACCCTCAGAACATCATCGCAATTCACTGCAAGGGTGGGAAAGGTGAGGATTTTGACACATGGATGTGCCACTTAGTCTCTTTATTAAATCCTTGGATGGATTGGACAGCTTACTGAAAAGGATAATTGTAAGGGTACTGTATATGATGGTGTATACTGTTTAAGAAACAGTATGATAACATTCCTTAAAATTATGTACCACGTCTGGACACTCCACTCAAAGCCCTTTACAGGTAATGGGGACTCTCCTCCACCACCACCAAGGTGCAGCACCCACCTGGATGATGCAACGGCAGCCAAAGTGTGCCAGTACGCTCACCCCACATCAGCTGTCAGTGCGGAGGAGAACAGAGTAATGGAGCCAATTTATAGATGGGGACTATTAGGAGGCCATGATTGATAGAAGGACATTTGGCCTGGATACTGAGGTTAACACCCCTACTTTTTTTGAGAAACGACCTGTAATGATAACAGAGATTCAGGTCTTCGGTTTTACATCTCGACCGAAGGATACTGCTTATTTTGTCACCACACTATACTGGGGCATTACAACTCACACATACTGCAGGGTGTGCACTCTTTACTGGTCCCACTAACACCACTTCCAGCAGAAACCTTAGTTTTCCCCAGGAGGTCTCCCATCCAGGTACTGCCCAGGCTCAGACCAGTTGTGAGTTGCAGGGTGATAGACTGTAGCTCCTAGCAACTCGCTCTAATAATTCTAATAATTTCAGGTTTGTCAATATTGAGTACTGTGTCTTTAAAACACTTTTAACTAAGTGACATGAATAATCAGCAAAAGGTGCCAGGTTTACTTTTATGTGCTTTTACATTTTCTGTGCCTCATTTTGTGCTTCAGAGGTTGTTAAAATCTGATTTTTCTTTGCCGCCTACTGGTGAGATGTTGTAATGCAGGCCTGGGATGTACAAGTGGATTGTAGCTCTATCTGCTGCACTGATAAACGAGCATTACACTACATAAGTCATAAACCCAATTTGAAATAAATCAAGGGTAAACACTACAGATGTTAATATGATGGGAATTATTTGAGATGTAATTTTACCGTACATAAGCATTGGTCACAACTCTAAACCAGACTTTTCTTACACAGCTTTTCAGCTAAAATGTACACAGGGTCTTAGTTAGATATTAGAGCTAACAAAAAGAAGCATATCCTGCCAAGTTTGAAATCAAACAGATGATGAAGCTAAAAAGCGTGGAATCAGAAAGAGAAAAAAAAGTCTTCAGTATTCTAAACATCAAAGAGCCACGAGAAAAGGCAGATGAATTACCTTCATCAATGCATTTACAACTCCAAGTCTAAATCAGAACTCCAGTGGTTATTTCAGTATCAACCATGTGAAAATTCAACATCTGTATCCCAAAGATAATTGCAATAGAATATTACTTCACTCATTACTTTAGAGTTGAAAAATAAATATCAGTTTAGTTCAAACATTAGTATTAAGATCCAGGAAATAATATTTATATGCTGTAATCCCAGTGTTCTGGCTAACTTCCATTCTGGGCTTGTTCAGTCCTACCTTCCAAAAATTCCCTCTAAATTCAACAGGTGCAGACATGTGCTTGATCTGTATAGTGGGGCTGCTGGTGTAGTATGGCTCTTATGTGTCTCTCAAGTGGGTGCTACACTTTAGTGGTGGTTGAACTGCATCCCCTCCTATGTATAAAGTGCTTTGGGATCCATGTTGATGTAATACTGTATGAATTAACAGTAATGGACAAGGTGTTCGTTGAACTGCATCCATGTGAAAATCTATCAGATTCTAGCAAGAATGCCATTACGGAATGGAATCAATCCAAAATAAACTACATAAATATCAAACCACATATACATGGATATCCCATGCATTAGAAAATGTACCATACAATCTCATTTAAAGACTCAAGAATAACTAAGGAATTATATAAAATATAGATTAAACTAAGAATATTGTTTGAATATGTAAATATATCTCCAGAGACCAGAGGTAATGATACAGTAGTTTTACAAGCCATTCCAGAAAAACCTAACATTTTATTTTTTCTAAAATCACTTGCAAGCCATCTTCAACATGTGGACATAGAATTCTGCTGAAATACAAAAGATGTTACATTAGCAATTATATTTAATATTTATAATATTCTCTGTTTAACCCATGTTTTTAACAAGGAATGGAACCATCGTTGTTAAAAAGTCTACCCCTGTCATCTTCGGGTGTAAAAATGTCTGTATTTCCTTCTTTGTAGGCTTTTTGTCTGGGGGCAGGCAGTTCAGAGTGTGCCTTGTGTGTTTTTATAGGTCGTACTGGGACAATGGTGTGTACATGGCTCATTGACAGCGACCAGTTTGAGAGTGCAAAGGTATCCTGACCAGCAAGGCAATACTGTCAGAGAATCCCTTTAGAGAATTCAACCACAATGTACAGTAGCCCTGTTTAGATTCATATAACATGTTTAAATCATTAGGGCCTCAAAGTGCCACTGTAGATAGTCAGACAGGAAAGCAAGTTAACAATGGATTAACACTGGAACGAAAGGTATATAATATCATGCTGTACAAATAAAACTTTTACAATAATGTATATTTAGAAAAAATGATCATTGAAAAGTATGCCTTAAATTCTTTTTTTAATCTGAAACATTAAATGCAAAAAGCAAAATAAATACTTAAAGTAATTGAATTCCAAATATAAATTGTCTTAGAGACGTGCTTTTATCTTTGATTTCAAATTATCAAGAGGTTCTGCCCAATCCGCAAAAGAGAGGAGCTACCTACGTTAGCTCAAGATGTTTAGTTCATTTGCACGAGAAATTTGTGCTCACTACAACAGAGGATGTGTAGTACAGATTCAGTAATAATCCCTTTCAACTGCTGGATAGTTTTGTGTTTTTCCCCTTTTAAAACAACCATGTCATGGTACTACATGCTATTTAATTAGATTCTTATTAAAAACTTTACCTTGTTTGCATTTTTTAAGGAAAGTCTGGATTATTTTGGGGAGAGAAGAACGGACACAAGCATGAGCTCAAAGTTCCAAGGAGTAGAGACGCCTTCACAGGTACAAATAAAGCATTGTTGAAAGCTAAATTCACTATCATGCTTTAAGGCTTTTGATGTTTTGTTTTCTTTTAACAATACAGATAGCTAGTTGTCAGATTTCTCTTTGAAAAGTGGAAAATGTATAAATAAAAGTAATAATAATTCCTTGCATTTGTGTACTGCTTTTAATCCTGAAGCATCCTCCAGTGCTTTGCATATACAGTAGGAGGGAACTCATTTCATCCACCGCTGAGGTGCAACACCCATCTGGGTGACGTGCCAGCAGATCACGTGCAGAAGATATTGCTTCACCAATTGGATAAGAGGGCATTTTAGGTAGGCCACATCACAGAAGTCCAGGGTAGAATCTAACCAGGACAAAAAATGTTAGTGCCCCTACTCCTCGGAACATTCAAATGGGATCTTTAATGGGCATAGAGTCCTTGATTTAACAGCTCAACCAAAAGGATGATACTTCCTATAGCACATTTTGCTTGCTGTCCCGTTATAATGGGACATTGGTTTGGAAATTCTGGAGTGCCACCTGCTGGTCTACCAGCACCTAATAACTGAAGGCTGTATATGTAGAAAAATGGTTATTGAAATGTACGCCTTAAATTCTTTTTCAATCTGTAATTGAAACAACAAATGTAAAAAGCAAAATAAATACTTAAGATGTTCCCCATCCCAATACTGGCCAGGCCCAGCCTTGCTTAAATGCTCTGTATATGGATAGATCTGGAAGCCCTTTAAGTCCTGGGGGTTGATTTTCAGTACCTGAGAAGGTCATTTTTTCTCATCTTAAACTGTGGCTGCCTTTTGGGTATTTGAATGGGATACCAAGGTGACAATTGCTGAGGTCTAGTTTATAAGATAGTGAGTCCATTATTTTTTGAGGGAGAGTCTTGTTTCTGTGCTTTACAGAGCAGGTACGTGGGGTATTATGAGATCATGAAAAACAAGTACAACAGGCAGCTACCTCCTGAGAAGAGCTTGAAAATTCGAAGCATTCGAATCCATTCCATACTGGGTAAGAGTGCTAAGACTGTCTGTTTCTCTTAAGTGCAGGCACTGCTGATGTGCATCCAAGTCTGTGAAGTGGAAATTGTGTACTCTTTGTCATTTCTTTCCATAAAAGCTTTAGACTTTGAATCCTGAATATGATTTTATGTGATTTTATAAATGCGTCTGTGCTGGATCTGCATGTTACCAGAACTCTTCACAGGACTGAAACGAGAATTGGGAATTGGCAGCTCCTTCGTTTAATCCAGCAAAGGATTATGTTGCTGAGTTAAATATTGATCACATACAGTAGTTCTTTAAATAATTTTCTGAAAATAATTTTAAAATGACAAAATAGAAGCAATGGGATTCATTTTTTCAATAACCTCTCAAAATCTGCAATGATGTATTTAGCTGTCAGTTTAGTCTTCCAAAGATAAAATACAATCAGATCCTTCAGACAAGTAAAGATTTAATCAGAATGAACAGGGAAGCACGACCCAGAGAGCACAAGTGGAACTTTATGTGGAAGTACTTTAAAAACCCGAGAACAAGAGGCACTTCTTTATCCAAAGGGTTGATTGAAGATGAAACAAGCTACCCAGTCCTGTTGTTGGAACCAATACCCTTCCTTCTCTCAACAAAATGGATGAGATCCTGGGACTAATTAAATTCAAAATACAAAACAGGCTAGATGTGCCAATGGCCTCTTCTGACTTGTAGTGTTTATGGTCTTATTTTCAAAAGAAACGCATGGGGGAGTCGTCAGCCATTTTATATCAGGTAAAAAATGATGAAAAAGAAGACATATCCCAAAACCATTTGTAAATACAATCTCTGTATTAACCAGTAACACACTAAAAGACAAGAATCTAATTATTAATAAATATCGTTTCTAAAACATTTTACAAAATAAATTATGCTTTGGCTAATTTCTGTTCATTTACCCACTAAATAAAATGAGTCCTGCTGATCAGTTCTTTGTCTTCTCAGGTGTGGGAAAAGGCAATGGCAGTGACCTGAAGGTGAAGATTATTGTGAAGAAGGAGACAGCCTTCCAGTGTGTTTGTGCCACTCAGGAAAACTGTACGGTAGGCCATGCTCGTCTCGAGAGTCGATGTCGCACTCTCTGAGCTCTGCATCCAAAGTGAAGCTACAGTAGCGAACCTGCATTGTACTACTGCCATCTCATCTTCAGAGAGCAGTTTTAGGAAAAGTGATTGAAATCCAGATACTCGTGATAGCTATGGTACACTGTTTCCTACCTAACCATATTCCTGGCAGATCTTGCTTTCCAGTAAAATCCCATTTAAACCCCTGAACATTAATTCAGTTTACATATTTACATTTTAGAACATCCTGAGATGAATTTGTGAATTTGCCAATGGAATGCCAAGTTAGATATGTTTGTTTGTGTGGTTAAAATGGGTCATTTGTCATTGCCAAGACACCAAATTGTATTTCTAGATTTAGGATTACCAGGTAACATGCTGGTTTAGCTGTGCATTGTTAAATGGGATATAGTATGGTCATTTTACATCGAGTTGTGTTTTGCAGCTGTTTCCTGACGCTGGCAGCAATGCTGTTGTTATCAGTTTATCAGAGGGTCCTGTTGTGAGCGGAGATGTGAAGGTCATGTTCGAGTCCAGTTCTGTAAGTATCACAAGTTTAAAGTAGTGTAGTGTATTACTTTGATATGAAAGACATCTACATCAGTAATGACAAAGATAAGCAAATAATACAGAGTACTTAACAAAGGAAGTGTGACGTTTTTGTGGTGTATATTCAATTCAGTACCTCAAGGATATTTGTAAGGTATGTGCCGGAATGTGGAACTTTCAACTGTGCCTTGTTTAACTAATAAAATATAAAATTATAATAAAACAATTAAAACATCTCAGGTAAAGCACTGACAACACTTTAGATGTCTGTAGACATCTATAAACTGCCTCAAGACAGAAATAAAACATTTTCCTTTTACCAGTTCCTAGTATACCTTTTTTCTACCCCAGGGTCTTCCTAAAGGCTATGAAGACTGTCCCTTCTATTTCTGGTTTAACACTTCTTTTATTGAAAAGAACAGGTAGGTCATTTCTCATAATGGAAATACATTTCATTCTTTGCATACCAAGAAACAAAATGTAATTACGATCTCTTAATCCAGTGATTTAAACTAGGGATTTTTAAAGCTGGAAAATTGCTGATTATTTTTTCTGATGACTTCAATACTTTTTGTCATCATTTAGAATATCAGTGAAAATGGGAAACCTAACCACAAATTCTGAAATAAGCAGTCAGTGTTAAATGATAGTTCAGGTGGGTAGCTACATCAGCATACATAGGAATGTTCCTGCAAAGGAACAAGTAATAGGTTTATTCCATGCTGAAAAGAGAAGAAAGGAAACACAATGTTTCGGCCTTTGCAGTGTTAAATGATGATCACCATCAATAAGGACACAGAATCACAGATCAGCACAAATACTACAATATTATTCTTCTTTAAGCTGTTCCAACAAGGTTAGAACCTGGTGGAGTCGAATTTCATATTCTACAGCATTTATCTTGAAAGACGTTTTTTAATTGCTTATATTCAAAGTCTCATCTCTTCCTGTAGGCTCTACCTCTCTCGAGAGGAGCTTGACAACCCGCACAAGCCAAAGACTTGGAGCATCTACAAAGAGGACTTTGCAGTGGAGCTGGCCTTCAGTGAGGTCTAACTACGAGCTCTGTTGCTAAGAGGACCTCGAACGAAGGAGATCTGAACTCTCCTTTTTGCGAGTTACACTTCCCTGTACTGAGCCCTCTGATATTTTGATAGACCACAAGAACATTTTGGTTACAGCATACACTGTCTCTTCTAGAGCAGAGTGGTGTACAATTTGGACCAAATTGCTTTACTGTTCACACCTTTAGCTCAGGATTTTCAGTACAGCGGGAATGTGATGTATATAATAGACTCATGAAGGGTTTGTTAACATAATTCTCTTTTTTTATGAACAGTGTTTATGCGCCATATTCTTTCAAGTCAAAATGCACATTTAAATTAAAAAGACTTGAAATAAACCACCAAAGAATTCACATACAATTTATGTCTGTACATCTGAATAATACTTTTCACTATTTGACCACTTTATTGGGGGAGTACAGTATACCTAAATCAGGTATTACATACTGGACAGAGATAGGCAGAGGATCACATTGACAAAACATATAACTAAACTTGCAGTTCGTCTGAGACTTATATAGCACCAGATATCATATTGCAGTTATATGTTCTTCCTAGCCAGACATACTGTGGTTGGAGCCAAGCCCAACAATGGTGCTTTCCAAGTGCTGCATTAAAGTGTTGAAAACTGATGATAAGCCTCTTCTATCTGTTCATACATGGTCATGAGGCCAATACAATTCCAAGTCCAACCTGTCACTATTCTAATAATAAATAATCCATGTACATAAACCAATATTATGGAAGAACAGATACTGTTCTGTGATTCGAATAATTGGTGCTTTCCAGTTCTTATTACTTGATCATTAATAAATTACTTTCCCTTTTAGAAAAAAAATATAACTCCACAGAGAAAAAGCACATGTGTAAAAACAGAAAATCTTACATGCAGAAAAGTACAGAGAAAATAGCGACAATGTCTTTGAAACATATTTTTGTAGTTATTAAGTATTATTGCTCCATGCAGCATTGGGAAACTAAACTTAATTGTTTATTTTTTTGCTGTCCTTCCATTCATGTTAGGTGTATCTTCTCCCAAGAGTAGTTATTTTTCACTTTAGATTGAAGTGGTGTCACTGTCACTGCACATGTTTGAGTGATTTGGCTTTGGAACAACAAACACAGGGGAAACGTGGGGGCTATTTATAAGTTAGCACTGTCTGCAAAATTGCTAATAGTCGGACTTAAGTTGAACTTCTAACTGAAAGGATTGAACAGAGATATTGTAGAGTAGTAACTTCTTCAGGAAACTCCCAACTAAAAAATGCCCTGGGCTCCAACCTGGGTTAGATTTTGGCAGTTTGAATTGAGTCCAGGGTAGAGAAGCTTGGAGAATTACTTATCTCCATTACCTCTATATATCCCTGTGCTTATGGCAGGCAGCATTTGCTGCAGAAATCCCTGATAGAGAGGAAAATATTGTTTACAAAGCTTCTTTTAATAAAGAAATGCACCTAACTGCACAGCTACGTCTCAGTAAAGCCTATTATTGCACTGGTATGAAATATAATGATGTGGTAAATTCAGGGAGTGTTGATTTGATTGTCTGGTATGAAATTGTTTCCATAATAACATAGGACAGTTTTGAATACATAATGTGAAAGCAGTCACCCACAGACAACCTCATGTTCTATCATAGACTCGGGTTTAAAGGAAAATTGATTAGTTGTTTTGCTGCAAAGTCCTATATGTGCTGGTTCAGCAGATGACTGAAGAAAATTTGAAAAGCATCATTTTCCCATAAACTGTACAGAATACTTTTCAAATGCTTCAGATTTTCCTTTCAAAGCTGGCCTTCACAGCTGTAATCATAATTCCTGAATATATTTAAATAATTACATATTTATGCAAAATGTCTTCTTTAAAAATATTTTTTAGAATTTTTTCCCTAAAATTTTACTCTCAAAATTGGAGGCCACAGTGGTTAGTGTAATTACTGTTTCAAGCTGGGAGTGCTTTGTAATACATAAAAATAGCCTGAACAGTCTATGGCAGTTCCTAAAAATTCTTAATAACACACAAAATGTATTTCTTTGAAAAGCAACCAAAAACTATTTAATTTTTGTTTGATATCTCCAGATTGGGACATCATTCACGAGATGGCCAATTTACTCAACTTCTGTCACTCTTTTCTGCATCATCCATGAATTGTTTATTTTTTTATAATTTAAAAATAGATGAATATGTTTTTCGTGCTCCTCTATTTAAGAATTGACCAATGTTGAGCAACCTTCAGTCCAGAAAGGGAAGAAGGAAGACGAAACACAATTGTTGTCAAGCCAGTAGAGATAAGCTATTGACTGGGTACTGATGCCATTTACCAATGGTATCAGTGAAGACTGGTGGGGAAAAAAATAAGGCTGTAAAAAATGGGAAAAAATGACTACATTAAAAAAATATTCACAATCACTCCTTTCGTACATGGCATCTATTAAAATCTCTGATACTGTGAGACTTTTTCACACAGTGGTTCCACATAAGTCAGAAGACATTTAAAACCAGCTAGTTAAACCAGATTGTCCATTACCTTCTTTAGTCGTGTACTGAGATGCAAAATAGCCTCTGTATGTTCAGTACAGCACAGATGGAGATGGGAGTGGGAAATTTTAATAACCAGGTGTATTTCGATTTCGACTGGAGTGTTTCGGAGCTAAGGATGGGGCAGTGCACACTTTTTTAGAGACATAAAAACAAAAGTTTCAAGTTAAGAAAGCCTTTCAAGTAGAAAGGCTGGGGTGGAGGGCAACCTGAGGTAGGCTGAGAGATCAGCTGTCAAACTGTTTCATCATCATCTTCCTGCTGAGCTCGTAGGCTAGGAAGAGCGCTCCATTAGCTGGGAATGTCCGGATCATGGTTGGGGTCAAACCAGAATACAGTGCCGGAATGCCTGGAAAGGGAGAGTGTATTTTTGAACATACTGTACTCTTTCTTTTTTTATAGATATCTTTTACTCTATATTATCCCCAAGGTGTTCCCAAAAGATGAAAAAGATTGGCATGTCATGTCATTTACCAAAAATTATACCATACGGTGTCGCGGGAAGCCGGAGCCTACCTAGCAAGCAATGAGGGCAAGGCAGGGTACAGCCTGGACGGGCTGCCAGTCCATCACAGGGCAAGTGCAAGGCAATCATACAGGGGGACAATTTGGAAGCCACACTAAAGACGAGGGGGGAAATTTGGCCCGGCCACCGGGATATGTCCGTACTCTTATCGAGAAATGCCCGGGGATCTTTAATGACCACTGAGAGACCTCGGTTTAATGTCTCATCCGAAAGACAGCGCCAACTACGGTATAGTGTCCCACCACTATACCGGGGCATTAGGACCCTAACAGTCTGCAGGGTGGGTGCCCCCCACTGGTCCCACTAACACCACTTCCAGCAGCAACCATAGCTTCCCAGGAGGTCTCTCATCCAGGTACTGGCCAGGCTCAACCCTGCTTAGCTTCAGTGGGCAGCCAGTTGAGAGCTGCAGGGTGAAATGGCTTCTGGCTTGAAACAGATGGTAATATTTGTAATTTTTACTTTAACAATATAAGAGCATTAAAGTGTCATTTTGATTTAAAATAAGCAAAAGCAAAAATAAGACCAAAACGAAGAAGACGTACAGTAATCCCTTTTATATTAAAAATCCCTTTTATAAGCCAGCAGCCATTTCACCCTGCAACTCACAACTGGCAACCCACTGAAGCTAAGCAGGTGTGAGCCTGGTCAGTATGTGGATGTGAGACCTCCTGGGAAAAACTAAGGTTGCTGTTGGAGGAGGTGTTAGTGGGGCCAGCAGGGGGCACTCACCCTGTGGTCCATGTGGGTCCTAATGCCCCAGTATAGTGACGGGGACACTATACTGTAAACAGGTGCCGTCCTTCGGATGAGACGTAAAACCGAGGTCCTGACTCTCTATGGTTATTAAAAATCCCAGGGTGTTTCTCGTAAAGAGTAGGGGTGTAACCCCAGCATCCTGGCCAAATTTCCTATTGGCCCTTACCAATCATGGCCTCCTAATAATCCCCATCTATGAACTGGTTTCATTACTCTGCTCTCCTCCCCACTGATAGCTGATGTATGGTGAGTGTTCTGGCACACTATCCAGGTGGATGCTGCACATTGGTGGTGGTAGAGGGGAGTCCCCATTACCTGTAAAGTGCTTTGAGTGGAGTGTCCAGAAAATTGCTATATAAATGTAAGCAATTATTATTATATTAGGGAACACAGCCTTCTGCTTTACCTAGGACATCATACAATGGAAATACATGCAAAACATACAATGCATACATGCAAAATCTATCTATAACATGAATACTATGGGAAATGGGAATATTCTATAACTGTTAGTGTTGTTCACTGTAATATTGTTGGACCTTTATTATCCAGTGGGCACTAAGGGTTGTTACCTTCATTCCTGACAATGCTATTGAAGGTCTTGAGGAAGCCTGCCTGCTTGCCAGCCATGGACAGGACTTGGATTCTGGATTTGACACAGTCAATGGGGTACACTGCCAGCCAGAGACAGGCACCCCCAAACCCTCCGCTGAACATCACGGGGAGCACTCCTGTACAAAGCAAAGCCACACAATCAGAACGACAGGAAGTCCATATGCACCGTGTGAATGCTTCATGTTTCACATTTTAAAAATAGGGATTGCTTCAAATTGACGAGATCAAAATGTGTTAAATTGCAAGATGACACTTCCTGCCTTTTCCTTTACTTTCAATCATGTCAGTTTTTAGTGTAGATTGATTTGAAATTAAAAGCCTTTTGTAAGAGTCTGTATTACATAATTTCATGTTGCATTTTAAGCAGGATTTCTCATTGTTTATTACAGCAACTGCTCTAGTTTTATAGTTCAACATGATCCATGACTAAAACAAAACAATGTGATCATCAAGGAAGCTTACATAATCAGGGACAAACACAAAAACAATTTCATCATCAAGGAAGCTTACATAAATCATCAAAAACTCATCTTCATGACTAACTTGCAACATAACAAACTCAACTAATGATTTACAGTCACTTCTGGTTGTCCTACCACACAAAACGTTCAGCTTTCATTGAAAGGTAAGAGACTAAAATCAAACAAGAAGTGAAATGATTTTTAGAAAAGCTGATAATTTAATAGAAAAGTATTAGTATGGTACAGTACCTAGCTCTTCCTTGGTTTTCCCCCTGGATGCAAAAATGGAACGGCTGAGCTCGTAGCCCCCGAAGAAAAAGAAGTATCCGGGGATCTCTCTCACCAGAGTGCTGCTCAGGCCTCGGTACATGCCCAGAGGCCCCTCAGACTGCAATATTGCCTTCACCACAGACCACACCGAGCTGAACACAGAACAGGACTGTCACCCGTCAGGCTCTGGCATACTAACCCAGGTTTTACAGTGGACTGTCTTGGGTCTTGTGTTCCAAATTAAGGACCTGCAGTTTTCACAAGCATCTTTATATCATCAACTGCTGGGAAGGCTGATCATTTTAACCGGTTACTGTATGTCAGAGGTACACAAGTCAACACTAGCACTCCCTTTAAATTAACTACAGATTAAGAGTTGAAGGGAAGTTAAAACTGATGGTAATAAGGAAATAAGAAAACCTAGAACAACAGGATGTGTAAATGTGAGTGGTCATGAATATCACATTAGAACACTGTCCTGTTTCTTAAAAGTTTATGCTTACAACGTAAATACACGGTGGAATGTAAGTTAGTTTGATACCGCCTGTGAGACAATGTTGACCAAACTCCACTTTCTCGAGTAACAGCCGGTGAGATACAGATATAGCTTACACAAATACAATGAAAAACATCAAGGTCAAACTGCCTGAGCTACAGCCTCTCCCTTACGGTACTTACGTCTGCCTTTCAGCTATCCTCCCAGAGGCCTCCATTTCGTACATGGCCTGTAGACGACACTTCACCAGTTCGGTGGGACACAAAACCATTGAGGAAAAGATAGAGGCCAAAGAACCTGCTGCCGCATTCTCAAGATCACTGCAGGGAAACAAAACCCAGACATGGCCTGTCTCCATCATCTTAACACAAGCCAACTCTGAGACTTCACCGGTGAAAACCAGGAGTTCCTTGAGGTCTTCTATGTGTGTATATACTGAGAACACCTGCTCTCTCCCAAGTCAATACATGCCTAATACCGGAAGACAACACTTAAAAAATACACTCTGAGAGCAACATCAAAGGTAATAAAGGTTTGAAATGAGTAGTACTGTCCTGTAAAATATCTTGTTGTTATTGCAGAAGTATTAAGTATTTTTTAAATGGAGTTTCAGTTCATTAATATATTATGCCATCCCAGAACTGCTGTGAATTCCAAGTGGAACCAAAATTCTAAATATAAATAGCATCAAATGGTTCATTCTTACAGTATATACTATTGCAGGATCTTTTATCCTTTTAACACATTAATTACTAAATTGGTAACTGATTAAAGTGCTGAAAAAAACAACTAATTCACAATCGTTGGGACCAAAGATTTGCAATGCAGGCCTACAGCATCCCTACCCCTGACAAGACCCTGAAAGCAACCTCACCTGAGCACAGCGGCGTTGTCTCGGCCCAGGACCTTCCGAACCACCTGCTGGCAGAAGCCGTAGCACATGAAGAGCACAGAGTTCTCTGCGATGTTGGCCATGAGGGCCGGGGTAGTGCCGTGGTAGAGCCCTCTGAAGCCCACCTGCTTGTAGGTCTTCACGAAACAGTCTACAAAGCCCTTGTACATCGTGGGGAAGGTCTGCATTTTCACCTTGGCTGTGTCAAAGGGCTGCCCACTCAGCACACAGGCTGTACCTCCTGAGAAAGAGGGCAGCTGGATGTCACATATCTTCAGATAACAAAAGCTGAAATATTCTAAGACAAACCTCAGTTGCAGTTGTCTATTAGCTAGCATTCTTCTTCCTAGAAAACTAAGATCTATTCATATATACAGTGTATAGGGATTCATTAATAACAATTAGAGGTTAGTTCCATTATGAAAAGTAGAAAGAAAGAAGGATAAACACAACACAATTCCTGCTGTAGAATTAACTTCTATTTGTTCCTTTGCAGCTCCCTGTTCTAAACTTCTACTTGTTCCTTTGCAGCTCCCTGTTCTAAACTATCTGGATTATTTTAAGTGTAGTAATAATACTCTGTTTCTGGAATAGTTTCCTTTTTATTAAAACAGGTTTAGGCATATGTTTGAACTTCATTTTCCACATTAACAAGGTGTCAGCTCAAAGGATCATTAAACTGGTGAGAACCAGTTTGGCGTTGCATTGCCTATTTCTTTGAATGGCCTACAGTATATTTACTACCAACTGCCCGAAAACCTCATTTCTCTCTTTCCAAAAGCATGGCTGAAAGAGGGACGCACCATTTAAGCTGCTAAAAAAAGATCTCAGAACCATACAGAACTGAGATAGCATCAAAGGATCAAAGATGAGGGCTCCTGTTTAAACTGTAAAGGTGTTTGTTTGGGGTGCAGAATGAGCCCTACAGTCCAGATATGTCTGGATAAAGTCTGTACTGTGTTATCAGCCACCTCTGAATGGTTTATTACATTTAGCAGTGCTTAGTTGGCTGAATCCTGTAGGACATGTGTGAACTGTAACATGCTGGGAACCTGTAAGCTAGGGGTGTTGTTAGTAGATGCCGCACTACTCCTCCGGTCAATGTTAACTCCCGCAGGGTCCCGTGAAACATTCAGATAAAGAAACCTAGGAAGTCAAGTCAGATTACTGTCTCCATAACTAGTTAGCATTGGGCTGTGACACACATTTAACTGAGAACTAAAAACTGCTGTTTTTTAATTTAAAGTTAAAGGTTAACTTGATTAATATTTACCTTTAAAAGTTTTAACCTTTCAGTCATTTTTTTTCTCAGGCAGACTTCTGCTGTGGTTTGTTTTACTTACTTCACAACTGTGCAACAACATGGAATGAAGCATTTCAAATTCTTTGCTAGAAGGATTACACAGATTATTGGGGAGCTAACTGAACCAGGCTCTTTCTGACTGACCATCATGTCTTTTGTTCCTAAACAATTCCCTTTGGATATGCAGTGCTGATCCAAGCATTTTTTATGCTGCCTATAGAATTGTTTTCGGAGGAAGCACAGACCTATCTGCTCGGGAGATCTGGCTCCATGGTCTGTTTTATCCTACAGACCAGGCTTGAACTCCGACTATCCTCCCATTCATCCATTAATAAAAACGTGTTAATCCTGATAAGGCGTGCCACATCCAAGCCAATTCCAGAAGCAAGAAGTACAACGCAGGATTATGCCCTTGACAGGATACGAGTTGATTGCAGAATGCACAAGTAAAAGAGAGCTGGATCCCAGTGTACTTTTTTTTTAAAGTTACATCTATCCCCATTTAATTTTCATGCATGTGTTTTCTTAATAAGACACTTATGTTATAAACTGTCACATAGACATTTTAGGCAGACAACTGAAGCAGCCACACTGAAGTGCTCATGTCTACTTTTTTAACATGCAGAGCTATTCTTTGCCAATATAAAAAAAAATTTTGCATATTGCCAAGGTGGCAGAGGTGAAATCATGGAAAAACTGGTGGCTCAAAACATGAATTACAAAGTAAGCCAATGCTTTGACTCTACACTGACCTTGAGCCAACACCATGTGTTTGTGTAATAACAGATATGATTTCCATCTTATTTTAAAGGTGAAATACACACTACTCCAAAAGACATTCATGCCTTTGTCATGACAAACAAGTCAGAATATAGCCACTAGTGTGCATTTTGAACAACATACTTTGTTAACCTAAAAATTTGAATTACTGCATAAAAATACTTTCTGAACTGAAAACAATAAAAAGGTGTAGAAAAAGAATCTTATAAACCATCTAATGTAAGTATTTCTGAATTCAGTTTGGCTTTATGATAGAATATAGACTCTATGCAAAATTACTCTTAATGAAGACAAGCGACTCATGACAGGTTCGTGATTGTGATGGTTGTTGCATGTAAGTATTTCACCACAGAGTGCACAAAGCTGGAAGTCCAGAATTTCCCAGAACAGGTAAAAAATTACACCAAACCCCTGTTAGTTTGTTGGCAATGGTGTAGACAATGAACATAACTGGCTGAGCACCAGTGAGTGTAGGATTTGGATGATATGGTCAGGATTCACTCAGGAATGAAATGAAACAGCAACCCTGCAAAACTTGCAGTGACAAACACGCCTCTCTTCCAACTGGCACAGAACCTCTGTATTTGACTGTATGTGACCGCATAGCCTGTGATAAGTTAAAAGATAAAGGGCTAGACATTGGGAGGCTGAGAAGATATATTTTGGATATTTCTTAACAGGCAATTCCAAAATGAAGAAAAATACATCACACCATGTCCATAGCTTGGATATGTCCCAAGATAAAGTAATCAAAATGTCAGCGGACAAGCCCAAAACCTTAACCATGAATACTCCATGGCTTCTGAAGCACTGCTCTGCCATCTGAAATCCAACTGTAACAAAAATATGTATTTTTCCCCCAAAAAATTGAGAGCAGTCTTGTGACTGGTCTGCCCCAGACTGGCATGGAATAAAACAAAGGCCGTGGAGTGTTACATTACCGAAAGCCCCAGCAGAGAGGTCAATGATAGCCTGGACAACTGGATGAGGAGCCATTATGGTGTTAGGTCGAAAGGTTTCGGAGGAATCCTTTGCACAGAGGTCCCCAGCCCCAACTTCAACTCCTACGTCAGTCAAATAACCTACAGCAAAAGAAGGACCAGACCTGTTTTCAAATGGCACTTTAACACAAGACTTTACAAAGCATATCCACTGATGAGGCTCATTGGGTGCAAATGCAAGTGGTGAGAAGGTTTCTGAACTGGGGAAAAAACATGGTAGAAAAGAGAACATAGAGCCAGAACCATTAAGACTGTAGAAATACCTATCGTTCCTGTTATGTTTTTTTTTAATAAGCTATATCCCTTTCCTGGAATAAGAGGCTTTCTGATAACAGAAGGATGAAAAAAGTTACTATTTTCATGAGTAAGGATCCCCCAGTGATGATGCTTAGTAGTATGCTTTTGCATAAACAATATTAGCTCTGTGTTGTACTTCTAGCTTAGTTAAAGGAAACAGCAAAGAGAAGTGGTTCTAGTGTCAATGAATGTGGGCATTTTATAATTATATAATTAAATTGTAAACTTACAATTTCATTATCTTTTACCTGATTAATTAATCTGCCAAATTTACATTTTCTGTTAATGGGACTTTTAGAAATCTCTACGCTGTGTATATAACAGAAAATAAAACACAAACTTGAAACACACAACACCTCATTTTCAAATCAACTCCAATATGCTATTTCAGCTACTTTTAACAGGCAAGTGATTGTTAAATTAAGCCTCAATTACTACAATGAAATAAAACATAATAAATTAAAGCACTTGTGTTTTTTTTTTATTTGAAGTATCTTTCCAGCACTGGTACTTTTTCTATAAACCCACTACCATTTCCACCATCCCCGAGCGCCTCAGCTTAGTAAACACTGTCTTACTATATTTAAACAAGCAAACTTCACCTTCAAGTTAAACCTATGTGACACAACCATAAGCAACAAAGACGGCAAAAACAAACTGCATATTCCATTTACTTGGAATGGAGTCACACAAACAGGGGTGTCCTCTTCTGGTTATAATGGACTGGTGTGTCTGCAGATCATCATTCCAATTAAGTTTTTAACAAGCTGCTTAAAGCTGCTTCATCAGTCTCTACAGGTGCTGGTTCTTTTGATAAACAGAGACATCCCCAGCCTCAGGGGCAGGGCTTGGACAACCCCTGTTTTGTAGTCATATTACACCTGCTCTTGTACTGCCTGTTCCCCACAGTAATGGCAGGGCAGCATTCCTGGATGGAAATATGCGCAATAAGAAACAAAATTGGTCTGTCTCATTCCATATTCTAACTGCTTTATCCAATACAGGGACACAGAGGCACCGGAACCTATCCTGGCAAGCAACAGGTGCAAGGCAAGATACACCCTGGAAGGATGCCAGCCCTTTTCCCAGAAGCCAATTAACCTAACAGTATAATTTTGGAATGTGGGACAAAACCGGAACACCTAGAAAAAAAGAAGCAAACACAGGAGGAACATACAAACTCCACACAGACAGCACCCCAGGTTCCAATCCAGGACATCAGTGGAGGATTGCTAACCCCCACACCATTGTACTGCCCCAGTTCGGTCTGTACCCTGTTGAGGAAATATTTTGCGACACATTGATCAAATACCAGGTGCATGTCTTCAGGCTGCACCTGTGAAACTACCAGGTTAGAAACGAGTTGTCACTTTTTACTTTCCAAAGACGGAATTGGCTTTTAAATTTACAAATAAAAATGCTACAGTAGATCTCTAAAATAGATTTTTTAGATTCAAAGCAATAGATTCAAATCAAATAGATTCAAAGCAATAGCTTGAACACAAATACACTGCGCTCATTTGTCGTGCCTTACCTTTAATTTCAGCACAAACCTATACACGAGAGATGGAACTGATTATATCACAGAGGTTTCCTGGTATCGTGTAACATTGCATGATCAGGTTCTAAGGCAAGTCGCTCTTTGAAGCAGAAATGCAACAGCAACAGTAAAAAAAAAAAAACTATTCTTCCATCATATCCAACGTTGTTAAAAATCCAGCGATCGGAATGCTCATCTCTTTAACACTCTGGTTTGCTGCACATAACACGTGCACTGAAGTAACATCTCGGGTCCTTCCCTGTTTTTGGAACTGATGTAACGCCTTCAAGTGTTACAGCCTTATAATATGGAACATATGTAGATAACAGCTGCGCAGTGACATACCATCAAAAGAGATGGTTCTTGTAGTACAAAGTGAACAAAAATCACATCAAATACAGTACATAGCGGAAATAAAAAGCAGTACATTCAGTTTTGCGTGAGAGGAACAGAATGAACACCAAATCTGACGTATTAGCACAGTTGCGAAATTAACAAAAACGTCACTCACTCGATTTCTCCCAGCAGTGGGATCACATAAAAAGTAGATACATCTTTCGAAATGAACTCCGTTCATCAACTGGTGTGGAATCAATGACAATGATGGTACCACAGGACATCCTCTGTTACCAGTTACCGTCACAGCCTTAGCTCCCAAGGACTCGCAAGAAAAAAGTGCATGGGGAGCGTCTTAGAGCCCGTCTTATTTGTGGCTGAGAAATACACATACCATAATCGGAGCCAACACGCTCTCTTTGATCATGTTATTGCACAACTCAGCATACGTGTGTGAAGTAACTTCATACCTTGGTTTTCGACATAGTCGATAGTCGAGCAGCTAAACAGGGTCGGCGTATCCAACGAAAATTTCAACATCTTACTTTAAAGGCGAAATCGTTTGGAATTCCAATAGCAGAGGCTGAGAGATCTTGTCCAGCCAGACTTAACGATCAATTCGGTTTCACTAGTCAATAAAGCACCATGAAAGGCTGTTGTGTGGCTGTTGATTTTATTTTACGGTTTTGTCTCCTAAAGCGAATTTTAATCAATAACAGTTAAACTGCTCTAATACTGATAAATGTATAATAAATAAAAGAGTCTAATGCATGAATTAGTAACTGGCAAAAAGTATTTCTGGGACTGGGCTGAGACCTTTAACAAAACTGCAATCCAGGCAGACCTGGGACGTTTGATCTTTTATAAAGTATTCTTCGTACCATGGTTTTAAATGAACCAATCCGCAGTTTATTCTTCGATCTAATTTTGAAAGAAAAAAAAGCCTTTTTTATTTTATGCAGTGTGTAGGTAGACATTATTGCAATTTAAGAGGATATTTGAAAAGCAAAAATCTTTTTTTTCTATATAGCGCCATTCAATCCACCGCATTGTCAAATGGATAATACAGTATATTAATACTAGGGATTTGCACAAATCATTTTAACAATTATGTTATAATTTAGGTGGGTAGCTGCGTCAGCATGCGTAGGCTGCAAAGGAACATGTGATAGGTTTATTCCATGCTGAAAAAAAAAGTGAAGAAGGCTTCACGGCCGAAACGTTGCGTTTTTTCTCCCTTTTTTTCAGCATGGAATAAACCTATTACAAATTATAATTTAGGCTACCATCAAATGTTGCATTGTGCACTACTTGCAAACAAGTTATTCAACATAGTTCCTTAATCAATCTGTTTTGTATGTAGGTGTTCTAAATTAGTCAACCATTTTTTCTGTACCCAAATAGTCTCCATGGTATTTTTATTAAACGAAATATAATCCGCGGAACCTTAGTTCGGCGCAATAGTTTCCCTGCCGGTCGATATTTTTTAGCTGCATAGGGGGGGGACGCCATTGCTAGTGGAGGTTGTACATACGCGTGTGACATTGTAGGGCTTAGAGTGCAGGACAAAATAATACTGCAATGTACCGAAAACTTATTTTATACTCTTCTAGAAGTAAACGTGTTACTGGTTCAGTCTTTGAAACAGGTTTATTCAGTCCTAAAGACAGCAGTGTGTCCACGAGTAAAATCCTAGCCGTGCATATGAGGTGAGTTTATAAAATTACCCTTTTATTTTAATTTAAAGAAATAATTGTGATTTTTTCTATTACACAGTGTGAAAGCTATCGCAGACGGGGCAGAGGTGTGGAATGTATAATTAATTGTCATAATATTATTTCAAAAGCACTTTGTCTCCAGATGCCTTCTACTAATTGAATAAGGTCTGTAACGCCAAAGCCCTCCCAGTGCACTTTACGACACATATCACATTTTCATTTGCTGCTGGGATTGCTTTCTACCAGAAATGATCTTTAAAAAAATATATTTTATGTTGGGTTCCTTGTGGATTTGGTTTAATCATTCCTTCAAAATAGCTAAATTAATTTGTACAGTCATTATGGAAAAGGGGGTTTTAAATTACAGTTGGCTTCAATGTTTACAGTAAGCCTTAAGAAACTTTCAAATGCAGGTTACAGACAAAATATATTTATGAATACTGAGAAGACTGAAGTCTCCCCTAAAAACTACTACTTCATTTGCACAAACAATATTGATTTAATAATATAATGTTGACTGATAATCAGCATGTGCATTTGGTAGTTTATAGCATACTCCTAAAACTAAACCTTTGGAACTCACCCACCGATTCAGTGATGCTTGATTTTTAAATCCAAAATAAAAGTGTATTCATTAATGTTTTAATGTAAATTTTATCTGCATCATTTTTCAGTCAGGTTTCTGTAATTCCAATAACATCATATTTGCCAGCTAATATGGTTTCTACGGCATCTCGTCTAATTTTGTTTTTTAATACCCGTCAAATTAAGGATTAGTGCTTAATTACCTGGGGATTTGTTCTCCACTCTAGCTCTACCTAGGTCGTTGTTCCTCATGTAACTTCCTTTTAAAGTATCTTTAGTTTCTACCACCTTCCACTGTAGTTTGTGTTTCTGGGTTTCTTTGTGGATTCTTCCACAAGACAACTAATATTTATTGACCTGAGAAACTTTCAGAGCCCTCAAGAGTGTGACTTAATTCCCTTCTTCTACACTTTGTATTAAGTGTCTTGAGATTCACTCTATGAAGTAATGTGTTCATCTTTAGCCAGAGCTCCTCTGTAACATGCTCTTTTCCTCAGGATTTGTAAGGTTTTTAGGGTTTCAAAGGTTAAGTATCACATTCACAGCACGGCCTGTTAAAGCGAGGTTACAAAACCCATATTTGGTGGCCTATACAATGAAATCTTAACTTGGTTTACATGTCCTCGATGAAATAACTGCTGTGGTATTTCGTGTCACAGTGGCTGTCAAGAAGCAGTTTCAAGAGGATGGAAAATCAACTTAATCCGCAGCTTTTCTAACCTGCTCCCTCCACCTGGAACAATAGTCCCAGAAACTGACGTAAACTGACATGAACCAAAAGTATACAAGATGCACACCTGATTTCTTCACCTCCATGGGGCTGGTCTATTGTCCAATAGACATGGTGTAATAAGATACCTTTGCAAGTCATTGGATTACAATGGGAAAAGAGCAATGAACTTGTACATAAACTTCAGTAGGTATGAGTTGTTGTTGTTTTTTTTTTTGTTAAGAGTGGTGGCCTTCAGCACCACAACTGCGATCTCAAAGGAGAGAGAAGAGGCTTCTGGTCCAGAAGAGGTGCAGAGCACCACCAGTGAGAAGGAGCAGGGAAAGTCTGGGAAAGAGAGTCTGTTGGACCTCTTAGGAGCCATGAAGGTAGAGGTGACCACAAAGAAGAAATTCCGTGGTCTGAACGTTCAGAAAGGCAAAGAATTTTCCAGAGATGCTCCTGGAGCACTTGAGAGTGCAACCAGCATGTTCCAGAAAGCTACCAGTCACATAGAGTCCCAGAGGTACGTTTTTTTTCTTGGTGCTCAACCTTAATACTAGGTGTCTTGCAGATGTTATGCTTATCATGATATACAATTATATACAAGAAAAAAAAGTAAAATAACAAATAAAGTATCCTAAGCCTAAGTCATGAAATAAGTAAAACAATTTAGCCGTTACAAAACGGGTTTTCTGTAGGGCAAGATATGTAGAAATCAAGTATAGAGCAAAAGAAAAAAAACAAAGTAGTTAACAAGCAGAGTAAAACTGGACAGACATATCCTGTGTCCTATCTGTTTTGTTCTGCAGGGAGTAGCCTTGCTTTAGTCCACCCTCAATGATCAGAAGCGAACCATTTCATTTTAACGACTTTCATTTTAGCACGTAAGAGAGGTTGCAAATGAGTCCTACAGCCCTTGGTGCCATGGTGTCTCCAGGTCACAATTCCGTGTACTTAAAATATTGCTTCCTTTCTTTTAAGGAGAAAATTTAACACGTCAAGCCTCTCTGATTGCAGTAGTGATGGTCCATTATTTCTGAAATAGTATATCATTGAAAAAGGGTTGTGAAAGTTTTTTGGGCTCTTGCACTGTTGTGCATCTTCTGTATTTCCTGGGATGATCCAATTTTCTTTATGCTTCAGTTGTTTTCCACTTCAGTTTTGGTCTGAAGCGGTAATCTCATGTGTGCTATATAATAATGTGACAATTTCAGTTTTTTATTTTGAACCATAAATTGAAAATAATAACCAAAAGGCACATACCACAGGGGCCATATGTTATGAAATGACTAGTAGTGCATCATGATCTACAGGATTGCAAGGTTTTATTGAATAATGGAAGAAAAAGCAACCACTGTGTTTCTGTTTTCAGTGTGACCTTGAGTCCAGAGCTGGTTGCTGCTGCCTCTGCTGTTGCCTCCTCAATGCCCAATAAGAGACAAGCTGAATCGGAACTCCTTCAGCAGCTGAGAAAACACGAGTCTGTATCAGACGTTCAGAGGAAAGGACAGACAAAAAATATCGGGTAAACACAGCAATTAAATCTGATACTGGCACCTTTCTTTTGTGGTTAACATAGAGGTAAACTAAGTTTAAATACAGTGCATATTGGAACATAGTGTTGTTGCTTATATATTTTTAGTTCTAGTGCAGCTCCGAATGTAGCTTTTCCAGAGAGTAACATGCCAGTAAGAGGATGTTTAAAATACATTTCACCACTTTCTTAAATGTTTCTATCAAGTAAGAATGTTACTGGGCCATATTAAATCTTCTAGATAAGGTTTGACATAGTGCCACTTGTAACTAGCTATACAACAGAAACAATTTGCACTAAATCTTTTGTTTGTATCAGAAAGAGTGTAAACTAATGAAATGTAGAGAAGAATGTCATAAGGTCAGAAAATTTTTATATAATGAAGAGATTCATTTCATATATAATGAATTTCTGAATAGGGGATTTGTTAAAAATAGGTGTGTTTAATGCTAGGTCTGTGAATTAAAAAATAAGAACAGTGCAGACTTGTGTGTATTTTACTATTGAAGACTCTCACTCTTATAAAACATTTAACCTTATACCCCAAAACAGAGGATATGAAATTTAATTAGTCAAATCATACTGGTTTGTGTATGTAACTTGGGAGTAGGTGTTAATGTTATAAGCAGTGACCAGCTCTTTCCTTGTTAAGGAACATCATTGCTGACATGAAGATTGGTAAGCGTCCCAACATACGCGCCAGTGCCAGAGCAGCCAATCAGATTCACTTTGATGATGATGGGCGGGGTTATATCCATGACAGAGGTGTGAACAGCAATCTTGAAGGTGTGCGCAACAGGTAAGAAGGATCTTCTTTGTGTTTATGATCTGTTTGGAAATTCACATTGGTGTTTTCTGTCCAGTGTATCTTTTAGTCTTGTGCAATACCAACGGGCTTTCTCTGTACGTTCAGATTACTTTTTAATAGTTTTTTTTCTTTCTCAGATGCTGCAAAAAATAAAATGAGCCTAAAATATGAAAATACTTTTTCACGAATTGGATGTGATTTTATTAATGGAGATTGTGTGTGCAGTACAGAACTGATTGTGTTGAAATTGTTTAACAAATAAATTCAGTAACTCAGGACATTTTTTTGTTTCCCACTAGCTGCATTTTCCTTCTTTTTTGTGTGCAATGAATTAAGCTAAAATGAGTAAAAACAAATCTTTTTTGTCATGAGCGCTCATGTCAGAGCACTCGACTTGAGACATTTGAGCCAGATTTCACTTCAGCTTTTCTGTTTCTTAATATTATTAGAAAAAGTAATTGAGTTGTATTTTAAGGTACAGCCTCCGTATGTTTTATGTTATATTAAACAACAAGAACTTACTTCTGCAGAAAGGCCCACGCATGTCAAGTAAAATGATTACAAAAGCAAAACCACAAAGGAAGTTACAAAGGTTCAGTAGTAAATTTGTCGCCAGCACTAGATGGAGCCAGTATGCATGTGTATAAAATAGGTAGAAATGGGTACAAAATAATGATTAGTAAAACACGATTAAGATAATTTTGTACATGGTGGTGTTCAATTAAAAAAATATAAATATATATCCAAAGCTTAGATGACCTTTATTTGTTGTGTCTAGAAGAGAATGTGCCCCATGTTGTAATGGGGAAAACTCGTTATTGTGAGAACAGTCATAGAACAAATAGGAAAGAGCTGTTAAAAATACCTGGCTTTATGGCCATTATTATACTTAATCTGTAGAAGTCTTGTTTTCAGAAGGAACTTCTGCAAACTCCCTGAAACTATGCATTTAAAATAAACAGATTTTTTCCTTGTGCTGTGAGAATTTAACAAGCATGCAAGGAAGGTACAAGAGAGATAGAGGAGATCACTGAACAGCATTGGTGATGAGCTGATATACCTAAAATCTAAGATAAATTGACAGGTCTTATTAACACTACTTCTAAAAAAAATAAAATGATAATGATAACAATGGTGATTATAACAACAGTTCTCTATTGTCAGTTAAAATCATGTCTCTTTTCCCCTTACAGGAAAGGCTTATTTGTTGGCAAAAGACTTAACATCTTCCAAGTTCCCCCTGACACAGCAGAATTAGAGCCCAGAGGTATGGAAGAGACACCCTTTAAAGCAACATGTAACATGTCACCTCTATGAAGACTATGCATGAGATCTAACAAGTTGGGAGGTCACTTTTCTTATGAGACATTTATTTGTTTAAACCATTATGCTGTCTTTAAGTTGATTGTTATTTTTTGTCAAATTTTATGTATCTTTAAAGATAGATTCTAGGATTTTAAGCTAGAAATGTTATTTCTCTAATGTGGATAACAGTGGATAATATGCACAATACTGTAAGTATAATCATATTTTAATGTAGAGAGCTGTATCTGGGAATTCTTTCAACAAACTTTAGGAGATTGCTAGCAGAGAGAACTATAACATGCTCTAAATGATCATACTGCTACATCTTAGATATTAATAATACTATTATTCTTTTATTAACATAAATATGTGAACTAATTCATCATTACTGATGCAAACTGCATACAGGAAATGCGTACGACATCACATAACTTGTCTGCTTGTTTAAAAACGAGCATGTAACTCTGAAGGAAGCTATGCAAAGAAATTGGCTGTAGAAATGATGAGTTTATGCAGACAGTCTTTGTTTCCCAAGCACTTCAACACTGGCTTTATAGAGGGCTTTCAATGTGAGCCAAGTCAAGAGCTCTGCACAATGTATGACACACTGTAGTAGCATACTTGGTCCCAGCTGCTGAAATGTGATAGTCCTTCACTGTAGAGCCTCATCTTTCATTTACGTGGGCCTGTGGCTCTGACAGTTAACAGTTGATATGAGCATTAATGAAATCAAGGATAAATAACTATCATTTTGTTATGGCATGTTATGAGTGCTTATGTTCTCTGGATATGCATCTTAAAGACACCTGATGCCTTGGACACAATCCAGAACTGTCTGCCATATGTTTGATCTGAGGATCTGATGAGTAGGTACTGAACTTACAGAGGTTCAGCAATCTGCTGAATAATCTACTGATTGTTACCGTAATTCTGTCAAATAAAAATTGTGGCTTTATGCAACAAAGACTGATGCTGGAAACAGAACCTCTGAATTTTAACTACGGCACAAATGACTAGTCTCTTAATCCTGTAAGCATGACTCTTCCTGCACGCCTGCACCCTTGCTTTTCTCACTGATTGTGCTGTTCATCTGCAGATTCCTCTCCATCCTTGTGGGATATGGAGCTGGCCAATCAGATCGCAGCGGTGACCAAACATCCACCTCGGAACGGCTTTGAGGAGATGATCCAGTGGACTCATGATGGGAAGCTTTGGCGGTATCCTATTAACAACGAAGAGGGTAAGTCCCATCACTGCCAATATACTGTACTAGGCAAGCGCAGGCTGTCACCATAGGTGTTACTGTAGTATATGATCAATATTTAACACAATCTGTAAAGTTACCTTGTGTGAAAAGAGAATTTTGTCTTCCCCAGTGGCTTATTTATTTAAAGCCTGTGCTACATTTACAGGATTTGTACTTGGAGGTTGTTGTAGTGAATCCAGGCTATGCAACTAGCCAGAAGCAATCAGAATGTCCATATTCCTTTTATACACTTGTAAAGAAGATTGGGCAATTTTCTCAATCGAGAACATTTACATTTTTGTCAGCAGCCAAATCTTTATTCAGAACTTCCTATTTTAGTTGTAGTTTTGTCTTTGTTTTAAGCCACTCAGCACTGCGTTTGCTCTGGTCTCAGGTCTAGAGGAGGAAGCTGACATCCCGTTCCATGAGCACGTGTTCCTAGAGAAACACCTGGAGGATTTTCCAAAGCAAGGCCCCATCCGTCACTTCATGGAGCTGGTGATCACTGGGCTGTCCAAAAACCCCTATCTCACTGTCAGACAGAAGACAGAGCACATAGCTTGGTTCAGAGAGTACTTCCAGCAGAAGGAGGACTTGCTGAAGGAGGCCGAAGTCTACCTCAACTGACAGTTTTGTTGAATGCTGTTGAAAACGGCACACTCAGCCCAGGGTTAAGAAATTCTATGTCTCTTCTTTCTCCGATTTTCACTGAAAACATTTCAAAGACTTCCACATGAAGCCTAACCCTCTAATTAGATGTAACAATCCAGTTAGATGAAGAAGCCCAAAGATTAACTTATTTAAGTAAGAGATCTTATCTTTACACCTGAGTTTTGATTTTCAGTTGCATCACATCAATAAGACCTAATTTTTGTCATGCTCCGTAATTTCCAAGAAATCTGAAAAGAAGCAAGATTTACCCCCTTCCTTCGGTGCAAACTACACTTAAGGTAGATATACCTCCAGAAGTTAGATTCTGTAGGTTAGTGCTACCTTTCATTTTCTGCTGTAATGTGGCATATATGTTGATATGAGATTTAAGTAGAATCACAGATTTTTACAAGAGTAATTTTGAGGCTTTAAACCTTAGTCCAGGACTAAGATTAATTTAAAATGCCGGAATCCATTGACAGGAGTCATAGTTGTTGGCAATCAAAAACACTTTTGTCATTCACCCCATTTGGAAAGCTTAAAGGTCCAGCTAGTTGAGAAAGCAGATTTTCTGGTGTCTGTTTGCACTTGTAGTGTTTAATAAAGCATCTAAATCTTAATTTGTACATGGGAAAATATCATGAATTTTTTTTTAGCTGGGTTAAATTCCCCCAATCAATGTGGAGAAATCAGTTCTCAGTTTTCTGTCTCTGCTTGAACTGTATTATTTTCTGCTATCATTCTTTTGTAATTTCCTGTGAGGGAATTGCATCAGACTGCCCTGCGTCATCTGAACATGTATCGTCAGACTATACAAAATGGACAGTCTGTAGTTGCTTTATGATCAGCCAGTAAACTAATGACAAGAACATCAATACTGTAACTGTTAATTTATTTCCCCAGATTCCAGGTAATCAGCTGTTACTCTTCTCATTTGTACTTTCCTGTGCTGAGGTGAGATAATTAGATAATGTGCATCAAGGAAGCAGAGGAAACTCCCATTGCATAAGAGAATCGATTCTTTTCATGGTTTGTGAATTCAGAGTTTGTCCAGAAATTCTACCAATCGGATAAAAAAGCAAATATTTAAAATTATAACTTTGTGTCTAGCTGTGCACTAATACTGAAGGGAGCAATCCCTAAATATCTAGCATTTGAGTTTGTCTTATGCAAGAGCCTCCCTCCAGCGTGCTTTGGTTCAGGAATCTACTTTGTGTCCTTTTGGTCTGGGGGTTATCTCTTTTTTGCTTGGCAAATTGGAATGAAAATATGTACAGCCTTGGAAACTATTAGAGAACAGGTACAGCTGGATACAGGAGTTTCTGTTGTGTATCAATAGTAGCTTTTCTCTGAGGTAAAAGTCTTGTAGCAAATTTGAAAGATAATGTGATATTCTTGATTAACCCTCATAGAACAGATAAGGAAAGTAATGCCTATTGCTACGGTGGACCTTATTTTATGCTGCCTATGTTGATATTTGGCCTTAGCTGCAGTGATCATATTCGGCAATGTCTGGATGGAAAACAGGCATAATCTCATATTTTTTAAAACATTCCTTACCGTGTAGGTTGGTTTCGAAATAAACAATTTGCTACTCTTAAATACAATCTTTCTTAATTTTCTGCAGTTTTTTTTCACATCAGTTTAGACTAATTGGAAATGGGATTTTTAATGTATTATTTGTTATTGGGTGGGCAAAGGAAGTTGAGTGAAAAATTAAAATTGTAACAGTTCTGTCTTTCCTTTCTTTCCGGCCCTTTGGTGGTTTTCCCAAGCCTTTTGAGATTTGAATTTCCAAAAAAGAAAGAAACTGTGGTAGCTTGCAAACAAATGGGAAACAATTTGCTTGAGAACACAAATATGAAATAAGATAGCAGCTATGAAGGCTGCCAGTTTGTTTTCGCACATAATTAATTATCCACGTGCAAAGAAAGATACTGGCTTGTTCTAGCTCATAATTAATCAATTATCCAAAATTGAGGGTGGCTTTGTTTTCTAGCGTAGCATGATGCCTGTGACAGCCCTGTTGATGTTTTTCTTGAAGGGGAAATGTGAAAATATTTTAGAGATGCTAATTTCGCCAATGCGCTACACAGCTGCAGAAAAATGAATAAAAAGCATGAGCTCCCTGGCCATCTACTTAGGTTAATACCTTTAATGCCCATTTAACAGAATATGTTTGCTTAAAACCAAAGGAGCCTATACTCCCAGATTTTCAGTTCTAAGATGTTTTGTGAAAGCACTTTAGCTAAGAGTACATCATGTATTAGAAAAAATATGGTTTCGTGATTTATCAGAGTACAATGGAAGAGGTATGGACCAAAATAGCTCTTCATCTTATGTTTGGCCCATGTTTGTAAAGGATGTAATGTGCACTGCATCTCTTTTAAGTGTTCCTTCATGAAAGGTTGTTTTTTTCTTCCCTGATGAGACATTGTTAGTCACACACACTGGAGGTGCATCATGTTTCATTAGTCCAGACCTGCTCTTCTGGAGAATGCTTGAGAGAACCATTACATGGAGTTTACCATCCAAATGTCCCCCTTAGTTCCTTTATTTTGGTGATCTGAAGATCTCATTGCTCATCGATGCTGCTAAGGTATAAACATTTTAATGCACGTCTCCATTTGTTCATTTTCCCTTTGATATTGGTATTTGTCTGAAATGATACAATACTGCATTTAAAATAATTGTACTTGCCACATTACAAAAAAGCAGGTATCTCCAGTGTTTGAAAGTGATAAAAGATGGACAATCAGGATCAATCCTTGATCCTACTTGGGAATGACCAGAAAAGGAGCCCTGTCTGACTATTCACAATACTGAAAGGTACTAACCATTTCAATACAAAGTACCAAAATAAAAGTGGAAGCTGAGTGTCTTATACATTTAGGAAAATTAAAAGTACTTTTTGAAATAGTTGTTGGTGCATGATTACGTGTTCAGTCATATTTAAGGGTACTGATTTTCTGGGATCTTTCAAGATCTAGTTGGAAAGAAGCCATGGAATGAAAGGACACTGGACTCCCATGTGTTTCTAATGTGTCTCATGTTGCACTTTAATCTAGCAAAATCTTAACCTTTTTTCCTCAAATAATATGCATACAATTCCTGTGGCTCAGGTCACACAGTTTATCACTTTATAAATTGAAGTGAAATGACCTCATAATTTGTCTCATGCAATTATTATTATAATTAAATGTGTTGAAGAATATTAATCACCTCACTGCTACGATTCATAGTGTGAGCTGCGAACTCTCTTAAGCTTTATTAATAAAGGTATTAATTCAAGAACTTAGAACCTTATTGGAGCAAAATTGAGATTGTGTATGTGTTAAGGGACAGGATGCTGAAATGAGGTGATTTAAAATTCAAAACACTTTATTAATAGCAGGCTTCCAGGTACTACAATGATTGAGGTGTAGGAAACCAAAGACGTACCGACTGACTGTGCTTTTTAGGATCATTACTCATAAAACTTGAGATAAAGAGCTGGTTGTTTTTATGTAAAGATGATCTTTATCTTGCTTTGGAAACATATCACTAGATGCAGATGACAATTGTGTTAGGATGGGTTGTGCCATGACATCATAACGGAGGAAGTACGATGTTTTTTTAGAATTAAGTGCTATTCATCAGTGCACCACATGGTGGCAGTATAGCCTATGATCTTTTCAAGCTTTGATTGGCCTGCGAAGTGGGGAAAAAGCATTAGAATACCTGTTTGATTCTCGATGACACGCAGTGCCTCCCTGGCATGAGAAATTGATGGTGTTCTGCTGGGTTTGTAAAAATAGAAGGCCATCATTCAAAAGCACCTCTGTGGTGTTTATAGGCTAAAATTAAGAGTAGCCCAGATAATTACACACATGAGGGGACTTAACGCCAGCAAAAGAAAAGGCCTCCGTCAAGAAAGTCTAGACATTTTTTGCACAAATTGAACACCCAGGCACTCAGAGATTTGCTGGAGCAATCTTCCCCAATCATAAACTGTATCTCAATGAGAACTACGAATATGATTTTAAAAAAATCATTGTGGGAATATGCATTTTAGTTGGTGACTTGGTTTTTTGTTTAAACATAGGATGCATGTCATTTAGAACAGGGAGAAGTTTAAATCTGAAGGCCTTAGGAGCTGAAAGTCCTGCTTAGATTAGATCATGCACTACAAAAGCCAAAAACATGTTTTGGTTAAAATCCTGGCTGGAAATATTTGAACTTGAATTGTGTAGCCGTGGTTTAATGAACTGACTGATAGAATGGTTTTTCTGTAATTGGCACAGAAACACATGAAAATGTTTCACTGGGGGGGGGGGAATTTCCAAAGTCCTAATTGTTTAACCTTACCTTTTTAAATACAACAATACTAAAAATCTGGTTATCCATTGTCCATTTTTTATGAATTCTTGCATTAGTTTTGGGAACTTTAAGTTAAAAACAGTTGAAACTGTTTTCAAAAGGCTGTGACCTTCTCATTAGGACTCTTAAAAGAATTATTCAACTTCACAACATTATGATTGTACCCCCATATAATATTCCACTGCTTGACCTCTCTTCTGCAAGATTCTTGATTTTTTTTGTTGGATGGGACAGATGTATAATAGTTTCATGTAGAATCCAAACTACAGTATGTGGTATTGTATGTCATTTTTCATCCAGACATTAATTACTACCCCACAAAACATTTGAAAGTTTCAAAGCCAGGAGGTACAGGAAGGAAACAACCCAATGATTTCACTCACCATTTTGGAGATTAATCATGATGCATGTTATGGTGAAACATTGTCTCCCAATATGTTTCCCTTTTATTCAGTGTAGTGAACAGTGTGGTCATACCAGAAGAGTACAGTTTGAAGGCTGAGACAGCCTGTTTAGTGAAGCATGATGCTCTTCAGTCACGTGCGTCACTCAAATGTTTCCCCCATCATTTCCTTTCTCATTCAGGTTTATTGTGTTGCACAGGTGCCAAGCTTTGCCCTGGAAAATAAGAATGAAATTCAAGGAAACCAATTTAAGAGAGACACTCAGTATATACATAAATAGCTAAGTGAAGACAAAAGAATAATGCCAATCATATAATATTCTGTTTTGTCAGCTGTTAGCCATCAAAAGTTTAAAAAGTCTCAAGATTACAGTAATGACACTGTGTACAACTGTGATGTAACAACAGTTTGACACTTTTCTTTTTTTGAAAGAGTAAGGCCCTTAGATACTGGCAGTCTATAAGGAACCACTTCTGAGGACCTGGTAAATTGTTAAAGAATACAGAGCTTTCCAGTTAAAGCTAATTTGGTTGCTTTTGTGGTGTCATATCTTGTAACAGTAAGAAATCAATAATGCCAAATAGTTTGTCAACAGCAGCACCCAATCCTTTAAAGTTCTAATTATTTTTTTTAGGAATAATTTGCATGGTGTCCAGAAAGCTTTTTTTTAAAAAAACATTAATTCAGAAATCTCAGCATGAAAAGTGAGCATAACTGTTCATCAGCAGGATGTTAGCAGTACAAAGCATTCCAGACAGATCTTATTTTCATACGGGCAAAAAGCAAAACACTGCTTCTCCTCAAATTCACTTTCGTCTGGATGAAAGGCCCTGCTGTGTGGTCCCTGGGAGTGAAAGCTCTTGTGTTTGACCTACATGTTGGTCCAATAAAATGTGTCAAATGTTCCTTGTAAATGCTCTGCATTTGTCTTTTTTTTTTTACTTTGTAAAGAAAAAGAAAATTATTTCAGGCTGAGGCCCTGTAAGGACATTAAAACCAACAGCTGGATATAAATACTTTGACATTTTCAAAATTAATTTATCTTGAAACTTTCTTTGTTTGGTCTTGGAAAGAACTACCCGATGTTAATTTCAATTTCATTTCTGTTCTATTATTATCAGGCAGGAAGTGTTTTTTTTTACTCCTTTTGAGGGTGTGTTTTTTAAGTGTTTAACAGTGGTTCTCAGCTTTGGTCCTCAAGAGCCACCAATCAATGGGTTTTCATGTGTCTATCAATCTGGAGGTGAAATGTGCTCTTTCTGAAAAAACCTTAACCATCTCATAAGGCATGACCTTGTCACCTCTAGTCTAGGCCTAGTGGAGGAGCAACCTGACAAAAATCTGATAGAAGTTGTACTTGGAAACATATCTGTGTCTTTCCTTGAATACAGAGATCTGATTAGGCACCACTGATAGGTGATAAAAAAGGTATTACTCTGGTTTAGGAAGCAAAATAATGTAATTGTCTCAGTGGAGCTGGTATATGGTTTTATTGGCAAACACTATTAAGGAATGTAGTCCTTCGGATGAGATATAAAACCGAGGGCCTGACTCTCTATGGTCATTAAAAGTTCCAGGGCGTTTCTCGAAAAGAGTAGGGGTGTAAACCCAGCATCCTGGCCAAATTTTCCTTTGGCTTTTACCAATCATGGCCTCCTAATAATCCCCATCTATTAACTGGCTTCATTACTCGGTTCTCCTCCCCACTAATAGCTCATGTGTGGTGAGTGTTCTGGCGCACTATGGCTGCCGTCACATAATCCAGGTGGATGCTGCACATTGGTGGTGGTGGAGGGGAGTCCCCATTACCTGTAAAGCGGGTTGAGTGGAGTGTCCAGAAAAGCGATTTATAAGTGTAAGCAAAGACTGACTTAATTATAATTACAGTCCTCCTCCTCTTTGCAACTAGACCTGATCACAACAAAGCCCAAAGACTTCCAGCCATTGGCATCACTTTTCCATCAGGTATTCAAGGTTGTGGGGGGGCCACAGCCTAACCCAGCAAGCAATGGGTGCAAGACGGGGCCAATTTTCTCAGAAGCTAATTAACGTACTATTACACTATTATAGTGAGAGCATACAAACTCCATGCCGGTAGCATGCCAAGAATGGAACCCAGGGCCTCAGTGCTGTCTGGCAACAATCTTAACAACTGTGCCACCATGCCCCTCTGCTAAGCAAATACCCTTTACTAATATAACATTTGTGATACCTTAATTGTAAATTACTGGTATAATTGAACTGTTCTTAATTGTCATTTTAATGACAGTCAGGTAGCTAGCTTGCTTTTCAATGATTCTTTCAAAACAGCAATTCACTCAAATGCTTCAGACACTGCTGTCACAAGGCCCTGAAAAACCAAAATCTTTTTGGCTGCCAGGAGCCACCATGGTTTACCACACCCAAACAAAGCAGTCCACCTTTTTTGAACTTTAATTTGCTGTTAACTCTTAATAACTGTCTCTTTCAGCGTGCACTGGGAAGCTGCACGCCATTTTAATTTTCATAGTTTACGGCTGGCTTTACACACATTTTTAGCATATTGAAAACAACCACGTTTAGCTCGCAAACATTGTGCAAGTTGTAAACTACAATAGGCTACAGTGGTCTACCACACCCGGACACACCCGGCCATAGATGTCCAGAAATTACGTTGCAACCTAATAACTATCTCTTTCCATCAGAGTAGACTGTCTATGAAGACTCTTTACTTCCAGCCACTAATAGCTTTTTTCCCCACAAAGAAAAATTAGTGACGAATCCTATGACTGCTTTGTCTGCAACACTCCTTATATTTCCAGTGTGACATAAGATGCCGTTTTATTCTGTTTAGGCAACTTGCTGCGTACGCACAACTCGAGCGCTCAACATCTTATTATCTGAGGGGCAGATACTAAATGCGTTACATTCCCGGTCATGGACATAATAATGCCTTTACTACCCGACAAGCAGGTGAACGTTGCCAAACTCCAGACAGAGAAAACGTATCAATTTAAAGATGTGAACGTTATTTTAATCCTGCTTTCGGGACGCTCTACACTTTAGAGCTGTGAAGCCTGAACTTTCCATGCGTCCTGAAATACCGCTGTTCAAGTCAGATGGTAACTTGTCAGTAGTGAAGATCAAACATACTCGTGCTCCAACGTTAGGTGGCAGAGGTGGCTCTATACGAAGATTTTTTTGCCTTAATCCCTTATTTGTTTTCCTTTTCTCTCCATTTGAACAATTTGGTCTCTAAATCGTGGTCGTCAGCTAAATGGCCGAGAACAGGTGCATTCCTACTGTAGTTTATTTTGCGGTATATGACAGTGTCATGTGGGAGACAATTGAATCTCTGCTTCTGTCTTGTCAAAGCGGGGGTTAGCTACTGTAACTTCCAGATAAATTTAACGGTTTAGGCACAGCAAGGTTTCCTTAAAAATAAACAGGCTACTATTAAACCATGGATTAGCAAATGCTACGCACACATTGGGACTCCGGGGACATATTGGGTGCAGATGTGGCTTGCACACAACGCTGGGATTTACAATACCAACAACGGTAATGATAATAGTGATTTATTTTTTGAAAAATGGAACACCTAAATTGGTATTAAGCTATATATAGTAACAATATAATATAGTAGCATAATTCAGTAACAAAAAAATGGAACGTCACCTAGAAAATGTATCAGTAACGCAATCCGCACCGTATGTTGGACATAGTTCTACTCCATTGGGATGATATTTAATTTTTCAGTGCTTCAAAACACGTTCAACACAACTATTGTCCCTACAGCACACAACGGTGTCAGAACTTCAGAGTCCTTACTGTACAGAATCCACTGTTTAAATAGGATTTTGTTCTGTCCTGCAATTCATTGACGAAAGATGCATTTAAAGTCAGATTTAGTTTTGCTGTAAAGTCAGGAACGTTCTCTCTAAAATGATGCACCGCTACCACAATTCATTAAGGCTTTCTTCTGGGATCTTAGATCACAGAATAGCGCACATTGCTAAAACACGGTTGCCTGCGTCCTCTAAAACTGTTATGACCAATTATCAAGCTGATCAATTGTATTAGTTAAGAAAAAGCATTAATTTCTCCGAATGATAGCCAGGCCGACTAAAATGTACGGGAGATAACCTTTGTGATATGTAATGTTTCTACCGTGGCTCCTGATGGCATGCACCTCTAAATGGTAATGAATCAAAAGCACCAATGCAGCGAGTTTCAATAGTTTTAAATAACCATCTGCTTAAATGCAAGAACTAATCTCCATATCTAACAAAGTTTTCTAGAACTACTTTGTCTGTACTATTAAATATTTGATTAAAAAATCAAATATTTAATAGTACAATTTGGCGTTTAGCAACAAAACCCCGTTGTGCGTTATTATAGAACAGATTGCACCGGACAATCTGAAGGGTAGAATAATTTATTATTCTGAGAAAAATAAACTGATGCACAAAATTCTATCAAATGCGCAATTGCGCAATTCTAAATCACTTGAGGATATATTTTTATCTCTGCAATAAATGCTAACAACTAGTAAAATGTTTTTTTGTTGTTGTTGTTTATTTCATGCGGGGTATAATGTGACCTTAAAAAAGCTGAAGGAAAAATTTAAGAAAGGAAGTTGAGTGACGGAATAGATCAACAATAAACAAGTTCGTTAATTAAACAGACATAAACAATAAAATGACAGCTGTCAAAACCCCCCACCCCCCGAGTTCTAAAATCTTAACTCATAACTTTCTGATGATTTTGCAAAGCGCTGGAAATAGGAGGCCGCGCAGAATAACAAGCGATACCAGCGAAACCGACCCCGCAATTTTCCGTGTTTTACGGCTACATGTCATTAACCAAAACAAAGTTATTGGAAAAAAGGAGGAAATATTTGGCCGTAAAAAGAAAAAAAAAGTGAGCGTTTCGCTTGTTGATGCTCACTGGGCATTGGCTGCCGCCCGGTGTCACTCAGGAGGTGGGCGGCATCAGCTGACTCCCTGGGTAGTTCCAGTAAGTCCGCTGCGCCAGTCTAGCAGAGCAACATTCAACAAGCAACAACTGGGGGTGACAGACATGGTACGAATACGATCTTCTTAAGCCTGGATTTTAAAACAGCCGAAACAAAACTTGTCAAGACCAACGACAGAAAAGGGAGCCTTCATCAGACCTTTAAAAGCTCTTTTCCAGCGTTGTCTCATCTCTATGACTCGCTTCGGCTCCGTTTTGTGACTTTTATATGTAGAAGTTTGTGAAGTGACGAAGTTTTTTTTTGCCTCTTTTTTTTCTCATCCTGCTTGTGTGCCTTAGCGTAGGTCTATGTGAGAGTGGGATAATACTTTTCCTGGTATTATGGCTGAAGCTCCGCAGCAACAAGTGGTGGAGTTTGATCCGGATTTCGAGCCATTGTCACGGCCCCGGTCGTGCACCTGGCCGCTGCCCCGACCCGAGTTTATTAATCCTACCAACTCTAACAATTCGTCGCCGGCGCCTTCTGTCAAACAAGAGCCCGGCGGCAATGTGGACTTCATCAACAACCTGAGCTTGCTGGAGGAGACTGAAGACTACCCCGAGCAGAAGCCGCTCGTTTTGTGTAATGATTTTCAGTGCCAGGAGAATTGCATCCACCAGCAGCCCCAGCAACAACATCAGCACCCGGGCCAGCAGCTCTCGCACCAACAGGTGCCCCCCTTGTCTTCGCCGGCTGGCTCAGCCTCCTCGGTAGCCGCTGCTCAGAGGAAGAGCAGTTCCTCCAGACGAAATGCATGGGGAAATATGTCTTACGCCGACCTGATCACCAAGGCCATCGAGAGCTCCCCCGAGAAGAGGCTCACCTTGTCGCAGATCTACGACTGGATGGTAAAGAGCGTTCCCTATTTCAAGGACAAGGGCGACAGCAACAGCTCCGCCGGTTGGAAGGTAAGAAGAGCAGGCAGAGAGTGCACTGTAAGCCTCTGTGCACCTTCCGAAAGACTGCTTATAACTAGAGAACACAAAGTATTTTCCTACGATGGTCAGCATTATTAGCATTGCTATTGATATTGTTATTAAACTGCTCACATAGTCTACTTCCTCTGGTACTTTATACTGTTGCAACTGCAAAGATAACATCCAGATATTATTACACAACACATGTATGAAGAGATGCACCAGCACAACACCGATGAAAAGTCTTCTGCGTGAGGTAATTAGGCTACACAGATTTGTCTGCTTTCATTGTTTACAAACATGCTCACACGCAGCGTGGGCCAGGGAAAACTGGCAATTTAACTCGATGACTTGTGGTTTTCCCCAGGTCGATAGCGTTGTTGTGTTTTTTTTATTTTTGCAAGTACAGTAGGATTACGTCCTCTAAATCCAACTTGAGTGTGAAATTCCAAAAGGATAATCTTGAAAGAAAGTTCACGCTAACCCAGAGTCATGTGTGGATGGGTAATGTAAAACTCGTGAATAGCGCCAATCAGATTGCTTAGTGAGTTAATGAGAGTTAAGTGCGGGTGTGAGGGGGTGTTGTTTCACGAAGAAAATGCGTGTAGCAGGAGCAACGAAAGCACGACCTGTGCCACAGTGAAAACGTTGGGGGCACGACCATTATGTGCTCATACTATGAAAACACACTCCGAGCGTTAGTTTGCAAATTCGGTGTTTTTTTTCTTTGAACTTTTATGCAATACACTTACCCTGTTTTCTCCTGTTTTTTTTTTGTATTAACAATTACAATCGAGGGCAGAAATAATCGCCGTGTTATTTTTAAAATAAGTTAAGAAAATAAATTTTAAGCGGTTCTGTTGTTGGGTTGGGGGTATTCGTGATATACTCATGATTACAATACCTTGAGGACTAGCCAACTAGCAGCAACTGGAAATTCAGACTGAAGAGCTAACACATTTTTCCTCGTCGGACGCAGGAGCAATCCATACTGCTGCTTTTCTAATATTCTGCATGCGAAGTAGCACTTAAAATGATTGTAATTATCTACCGACTCTAAACTAAAGTATTAAAAAGTCAATTACTTTTTATGACTTTATAATGGGTTTACCGCATAATGATAGGGTATTAGACAGTTGTTCATATCGGAAAATAGAACTGTCTGCCTCTCTAACTTGAAATCGATTAGGAAGATAATGGGCATGTTAAAAAGAACCAAATTACTTGCTTCTGTCTGATCATGCCTGTAGACAATTGAAATCACAGCGTTTTGAAGATCTTATTTGCGGTTATTTTACTGTGTAGCTAGATCTTGTAAGGGATTCGTGCTGTGCAGCAGTGCAGTATTCCTGGTAAGGTTCCTGCTCGTCTTTTAGAGCTTTTCTGCTCTCGGAGAATGACTCGTAAAATCACCTTCACAGCAATCTTAGATGTTTACATATATTATTTAACAATAGCGTCACATACTTTAGAAAACACAAAGGGTTGTTATTGAAGTTTTAATGGCGAGGCACAGCAGAAAACTGACATTATGAAAATTGAATATTCTTGTTTATCATAAACCTAATCTAACTTCTTCGTAACATTTTTTAAAAGTATTTGTTCATATTGATAGTTAAGAGTTACTGAAGCGGGAATTAGCAGTTTATAAGGGGAGACGGATGTCACAGTGAATAGGCAGAAACATTGAACAGCTCTCAGCTGCTGTCTGTGGTTTTATTGAGCGTTAGTGTAAGGGCTTTCTGTGCGCTCAAGTTTATTAAAAATGCTGTTCGGCCCTGCTCTGTTGAATGGGTGTTTCATATTGCTGTATGCACATACTCTCACATACATACAATTGTACTTCGGCTGGCCTCTATCGGTAGGTATTCGAAGCGGAACAACACTTTTGGCAAATATAAGACAACTCCAGGCAGTGCTTTCCGAGACAAAGGTTAAATGAGGTGAGAGGCTGTTTCTTTCAGGGAAAGATACATGAAATGAACGGCGCCTGACGATATTAGTGCGGTTTGTGAGTAATCGTTCTAGGTGGCAAAAGCGTTTTAATGCCTGACTTTAACATAACGACTGCGATCATCTTACAAAATTGTGTTTAAGGTGATTAATGTAGGGTAACTTCATACCGCCGAATGGTGAGCAGTGGAATGCGTATTTATAGCACAGGTATCGGTCCTATTATGATTTTATTGGTTTCGTATGAGTGGAGCGTGAGGACAGAAACTGGGTAAGATAAAACGGAAGAATTGTAAGAGAGCAGACGTTTTCACACCTCACCTTTTAAACATGCAGCTTTGTACTTATAGCTGTTTTGTTTTTCTTTCCAGTGATACATTTGCTCCACTGTAACCCAAATAGCAATAAAGCTAATTTGGCAAAGAAAGTTCCACAACAAAGGGTTAAGGAAAAGTGTATAGTATTTTCTATACTTAAACTTTTACTGGATTTACAACACTTTTTCTGGATTTAATGAGCATTTTGAAATATTGTGAAAAAAACCCACTCTATATAGGAAATAGCATTGGAATCACATTGTTTAAATTTAGTGCAGTTTTGCATTCTTCAAATTGGTGCAGGATCCCCCATGTGAGTGCAATAGTACAAGATGCTGAGTGACCTCTGACACAATATCCCTACTATGTGCTTTCTGAGTAGGCACGCTTATGTATATATGATTCACACACACATGCAGTATATCACAAAAGATTAAATGCATTTGATTTTGGGGTTATACAATTGCTTCTGTGACCAGAGGCATCCTATCAGAATGGCTGTGTTGAAACATTGTGAAACGCACTGTTGCTGTGGTGTACCTTTAAGAACCTGTTGCACATACAGTATTAAAATTCTTCAGTGGTTCTTTGAAACATCTGTAATAATAAGCTGGCTTGTTTTTTTTGACACACATTCAGTTGTTAAATGATAACCATGGAGCTTGGCTGAGAAGGCTCTTCATATCGGTGACTGAAATACAGCTTCTGTTACACAGGCTGTTTGAGCAGCTCCAGATTTTATACCATCTCTTGTATAGGAGCCAAAAAGAAGACACTGCGTACAGTATCATGCACAGAAAGTCACAGAGCTAAAACAAAATAGATATTTGTGTTTTACTGAGTCATCAGTACAAGTTTTACAAGATCCCGTGGCTCCAAAAATGTTCTCCAAAAGATCTGTGTGGTGGGTGTTTTTGCCTTGGATCAATTTTAATCTGAATTGTACAACCACAATGTGTTGCCTGTGTGTTGCCTGCAGTGTCTCAGCAAGCACAGGGGAGTTGAAGTGGCTCAGGTATCTGTTCTTAATCTCTCTTATCAGATTAAAAAAAAAAAACAGGCCTTTAAGCGAAAGAAATAAAGACAAGGTTTTAAAACTTCTCACTGCCGTCCCACAGACCTTTCTTTGCGTGTGCTGACTTCAGTTTTTTTTTTTTCTCGACATGAGTAAAAGGGTTTTTTTTGGAGGCTCGGGACCTGCGAGGTGAGGTGAGACGACCTGGTTCTTTCTCTCGAGTCGCACCTCGCTCGGTTGTGTAACAGAAAAAAAGCCCCGACTCCTCCACTCGATACAAGAAGTGAAACTAACCGAGCGCCCTTTCCGTTGGCCTCCGCTGTAGAGAGCGCGCAGAGACGGGCTACGAGTCGCGAGCGGAGGGAAATAAAATACCAAGATTGGCAGAGGTGTCATGACTCCAGCGCTGAACAATCTCTATAATCACCCTTCCATCCGAAAAAAAGGGGGGAATCCAAAAACTGGAAGCTTTTCTTTTCTGCCAAGACCATTTTTGCATTGTGCCCCGAAAATTCAGTCACCCAGAGCAGGATCTTAAGTGCCTTAGAGCTTGAATGTCAAACATTTAAGGAGTGGCCCCGTAGCGTTAACAGTATGAATTAGAGGGCTCTGATTAATGTGCGCTGGCTGTGGGCGCTGGGCGGATTCATTTAGGTCTTCTCAGTTTTAGCAACGCTTCAGAATGCAGTACTGTGAAGATCAATGGGAGGTTGCAGCTCCCACAAGAGAGTGGTGCAAGGCATTTCCATACTCCTTGCTTATCTGTTGATATATCTGGAGGGGGTTTTCATTTTTGATTACGTTTTATGTGGGTTGTGAATTTTGTGGCCATGAAGGGCAGTGGTGAGGTAACAGTCAGTGTCAGGCAGTCCCTCTCCTATAGCTCTCTGTCTCATTTCAGTGTCCATATGTTAATTTTCACCAGTCCTGTGTCGGAGAAATCGATGCGGGTGAAATTGAGCAACCGTGAATACAGGGGTTGGAAAAGGGAATGGGATCTGATGCAGTTTCACCATCGGGCTTTGTTTCAGAGATGGAAAGGCTGTGGAAGCCTTGTGCAGATGATGCTGGTTTGCTGGTTGTCGACATTGTGGTGGAATGTCAAACCGAGCTATTTAAACAGACTAGAGTAGCATTTCACCTGTAGAGCACCCTTAGAATCTCGCTTAGTCAGTGAGAGAACTGAGTCAAGAGGGTCTCAGCTCATCCTTTTATGAATGCTGTAGTGCTTGATTTTCCATCTGGCACCATGCGGTGTGGATTCTTTGCGAGATCTGTGTTGTTGGGCTTTTACCACTGTTGCTGAGAGAATGAAATTCAGTATTAAAGCCCAGCTGTGGTGTGTGAGAGTTACAGTCCTGCACATTTTGTAGCCATGGGAGGCTAAAGAGACAGTGTTATAGCAATTGGCCCATTTAAACCTATGACAGTTGCAGTTCAGTAGTTCAAAGCTCCTACTGAAAAAAAAAGAGAGCAGAAGCACCTGGTGCTTCAGAACTGGAATTGTGCAACTGTGGTTTCAGCTGGATTTATCCATGAGTGCCAAGTCCTTTCGTGTGCTTCATCATCATCTAAGGCTACAGAGAAGGGGAGGATCAATCTTTTGTTTCATAAACGGCTGAAGTTCCAGAATGACTAAATTGAATAAATCATTTGATTCCCTGCAACCACACTTCAATATTTTCCTTAACCCTAAGTCTCAAGTG